TTTTGGAGTGGAGTGGAGAAGTCAATGAGGAGCAATCACATCCCTTTCATACTTTACTGAAACTACTTTTTTGCAACAACGCCCTGAGAGAGAGATAGACTGTATCTTTTCTGGGACTCTGAATAGTAACAAGGGAAATAGAAACATACATTTGTATAGTTAGTGTGCAAGTTACATCACTGGTTGGGAATATATATACATAAATAAATAAGCATGTGCATATATATGTACGTATGCTCAGGAGACACGCACATGGAAGTTTTGCTAGAAGACAGGAAGGGGAACTGCCTCCCTGCTTCCCTAAATTCTACTGCATTATTGAGCAAACCACAAGGACTAAGGCAAATCCAGCAGCTCCGAGGGTCATTCATGTAACAAGAAATGACAAGAATGTGACAAGATCTTAACATGCATGATGTGAAGGACACTTCAAGAAATTGGAAGAATAAGGTCAGTATGTGCATGGTGAATTACAGGAAAAGAAATTACTCCAGCTGCTACTTAGCTTTAGAAAAAGCTCCAAGTCAGCTCCTCTGTCAGCTCCTTCATTTTTTCTTCAGAGACAAGCTCTGCTTTTAATACCTCTGCTCTGGGTAGCATTTCCTAACCCTTGTAGAGCCCAAGGAGAGAAATGTCTTCTACAAACAGTGCTTGCTATGATTACAGATATAAAAAAAAAAATCCGCACAGTTGTAATTCCATACACATATTTTTGTAAGTAAATCTGATTATTTTCCTACTTTGCCTATGCCTGCTTAGCACAACTGTTTTTGCCCATGGTAGCAGTACGTTTACAACCAGGAAGGTGCAATAAGGAGAGCCGGGGCCTTACTTTTTCCCGGTGCCAGCACTCCACGAGCTCGGCGTCCGTGTGCCGGCCATCCAGGGGAGCCAGGCGCTGCGACCAGGAGGCCAGCAGCGCGCCGAACTGCTCCAGGGCCTTTTCCAGCTGGGCGACCTGGGCGGCGAACTCCCGCTCGGAGAGGGCCCTCTGGCCGAGCACCTCCTCCAGGCTGCGGCGCGTTTGGAAGGCGCTCTCTTCCCACTGCTTCCAGTCCGACTGCAGGGCCTGCATCTCCGCCGCCAGGAGCTGGCGGCCGCCGGCAGCCGTGCCGCGCTCGGCCGCGGGAGCCAGCGTTTCCACTCGGCTGAGGCGGCCCGCGCCGACCGGGCGGGAATCTAGCAGCTCCTGCAAGGGAATATTGCCATGGAAACGCGGCAGGCCGGGAGCCGATGCGCGTGGGGCCGCGGCCGGGGCGGCTGCAGCCCCAGGGAGCCGTTCCAGCACAGACGCTCGCAGGATACCCACGTTGCGGAACGGAACGGGAAAGCCTAGGGAGAGGGCAGAGTACAGGGAAACCGGATCGAGAGAGAGTGCCTGCTTTCAATCAGATCGAGAGCAAGCTGAAAGCAGCGTGCTGGCTGCAAACTTCCACAGGGCTGGGAGAGAAAGAACTTCCTTTAGATACTAAAATACTGTTAGGTTAAGATGGGGAAAAGAATGTTGTTCTCATCATTTTTATAAGAAATTCTAGTACATAGCTGATCATAACCGTTTTAAGAACACAACTGTATTGCTCAGGAAAAGTATTTTAGAGCCTACCTCCTGATCTGTGATGTGCCATAATTGGTTGCACATGTTCTTTTTTTTTTTTTTTTAAATGAATTCTTTCTACAGTGTCTTATTTCAGGCTTGCACATATTACAAAGAAATTTGGGGAGTTTTCAGTGCAAGAAGTTGTAGAATATAAATACCATCTTAACCACTGCATTCCAAAGTATTTATTTTCTCATTAGTCCTATATGCTAGAAAGTAGTATCTTCTCACTTCCTCACTCAAAACATGGGGAGCTTAAATACAGAGGAGACTAAAACTTGTCCACGAGTATACAAGAAATCTGGAGTTCGAATTACAAGTATCCTGAACCCTCATCTAGTAGTCTGTTCCCTGGCCCTCTCTCTCATGTTTAGGAGCAGTATGAAAACCTGGCACAAGTGCAAACATCAGTCAAGCACAACCAAAGCTTAAGATCTATATTAATGCTGCATTCAGATGCTCAAAATGCCTAGGGACAGATGGACCCATGCAAATGGAATGCTAAGGAAGCAACCCTATAGATTTCTATACAGGGAGGTAATCTAAATATTTTTACTGTGTTAGAGGACAACAATCCACATACTGCTTCATGCATCTCGATTTCATGCAAACTAGAAAAGGTTGTTTCTGGCTTTGACTCAGACAGCCCCACCAAACGGAGAAAGCATACTTGGGGAAGAAGGTAAAGCAGTATTCATTAACCAGCTAAGCCCCATTCCTCTGTGAAGCTACCGGGCTCCCGCTCTTCCAAATTATTTTAATGTGTGCCAGTAGCTAGCTTAGGTCCAACTTCCAATTGCACTTATGCTCTATCAGTTTGATATGGGAAGGGAAGAGAAATTGCTCAGAAAGCTTATTTTCAGCCTACTGAAGTGACATAACCATTTTGAATACACAAAGATCAACAACCCACAACATTCTGTCCCTTATAGAATGGGTTCTGAATGGCTGACGAAGCCACAAAATGCTAACTTTCCTTACATTGATTTTGGTCATTTTTCTCTGTATGGCAGATGTATCTCCAGATGCATCTGACCAGCGGTGCAGCTCTTCTTTCGCAGAATGGAGCCAGTCTGTGAATTCATGCACAGCATCAAGGTACAGCAAATGATCCTTCACAATGTCTTCCACTTTCCTCATTTTCTCCTGTTAGTCAGATGGAAAACAGTCCATTAAAATCAGCAAATGATGTTCTGGATTCTGTCCAGACTTCAAACACACAGAGATAGAGAGAGTTGGTGTGACTCCATAGTAGTACCCTTCTGAAAGCTGAACAAAACGCACTGCTGAATGCTGAGCTGTACCATTGCTGAATGCTCACAGCAAAAGAACACAGGACCACACTGCACAAGGCTAAGTTTAGGTTGGTCTGAACAGGTGTGGTCTACTTGAGCAAAGCAAGAATAAGCCTCTCCAAAATGCACGCAAAAAGTGTCCTTTACAACATCCTTTAACAAGAAATATATTCTGCAAAGCTGCAGCTGTGCAGCTCTGGCATGCTTTTCCCAATATCCCTTGGAGGTGGATCGCGGGGAGCAGTTTGCTGGCCAAAACAAAGTGGTTATTTAGAAGCATCAAGTCTCTACAAATGCTAAAGAGTCACAGTGATGGTTCATACAAGCCCACAAAGAAGCAACGCAAACCACAGAAAGTCCTTATGGAGCTCCCTTCATGACAGACACTACATCAGCAATGTTTGCTGTCCCCAGCCACCTGCCCTATGAAGGGTGCTTTCACTGAGGCACAAACAACAGCTGCATGGCTCCATCCCAGTGTATTAACATGACTTGAAAGTGTTTGCCATAACACAAGGAAGTGAAAATAAGAAATTCAAGAGCTGTAGCTCTTGAATATATATCTTGTAGATGTACAGAGCATCCCATGCTCTATAGTTTCAGGGATGTATCTAGAGAGAAGTTGGAGAATATCTATCTTCTCTATCTTCTATCTCAAAAAGACATAAATGACTACTACTGCATATTTTTCCTCCTTTGATACTCTTGCCTACATACATGTATGTGTGTGCTTTTATATATATATATGTTGCTTTAGATTGTTCTCTCTTACAGGCATCGCTTTACATTTATTTACACTGAAGATCATCTACTACTTCTTTGTAGTACTCATTCAATCATTCACTCATTCAGTGTGTTGACATTCCTCCCGGAATTTGTGTCATTGGACTCAGGAGAGCATTTTATCCTCTAAAAGATTTCATCCTGTACTCCCTTCTCCAAGTCATTAACAATGAGTCTGAACAAAATTAATTCTAATACTGCTTTTTGGAGGTCCCTATTATTGACTCCTTTCCATTCTGAAGAACAACAAGCCATTGCTTCCTGTTCTTCAATCAATCTTTAGTGCATTAATGGACCCTTCTTTCAATCTTGTGATAATATTTCTTAAAGCTTCTTAAGTTTCTTTAATAGTCTTTTTTGTGGAACCTTACAAAGAGCTGTTTGAAAATCCTAGTATATTATGTCCACTTTGTCCCCTTCATTATGTGCTTAGTGACACCCTCATAGAACTCCAACAGATTAGTTTGGTAAGGTTTTCTGTTACAGAAGCTGTACCTTCTCAGCATCTGTATTTATCCAATATTGGGTTTTATTGTAGATTATTGCAGTAATTGTGACTTAAGCATTCCTCCAGAGTTCTCAGATGGATGCCGTCTGGTGAATGCCAGCTGGTGACTTACTGACTTCTAAATTAACTGTTTCACAGAATGGTTGAGGTTGGAAGGGACCTTTGGAGATCATTTTGCCAAACCCCCCGCACAGGGACACCTATAGCACATGGCACAAGGTCACACCCAGGTGCGTTTTAAATATTTTCAGAGGAGATTCCACAACCTCTCTAGGTAACCTGCATGGCAAACTGCTTTGTCTAAGACTTTCTGTATATTCACATCAAACTAATTTAGCTTCTTTGATACGCTTCCTGTAAAGAGAATGTCAGGTCTGTGAAGCTCGTCATCATCTTCAGTGGATGGATCATCTCCATCTACAGATGGAGACTGTACTTCAGAACTAGTGTCACTGTCATGATCTGACTGGCAGATCTCTGTGGATTAATTTGTATTTTTGCTTAGAAACTGAGCAGATCACCGATACAACATGTACAGTGCTTAATGACTTTGAAAACCACAAACTATGGCAGTATATATTTCCAGTAATAAGTTTACTCTCCCTGATATATGTATTGGGCTCAGTGATGCATTTTATTTTTCTCTGTGTAAAAAACAATAACAATAATAATAATAATAATAATAAACGCTAGAAATGAATGAAAATGAATCTTGAAGGAACATTACAGTATGTATCAAGCTAGGAATAAAATATATGCCCTTCTCTTTTCAAAAATCGTAAGTATAACAATAATTCCAATTCTTAATCTTTTCTTATATTCTCATGAATGTTAATAAACTGCATTTTCCTTTTTTTGTTAGACTCCATTATAAGAAATATAAGAAAAAAGACTATTGGCAACACAAACATTCCTTTATCCACAGTAAAAACATGAAAATCAAAATTACTGCCTTTTACAAAGACGAGTGTCTAAGAGTTTTAGTTATTTGAAATAGGAGTGTTTGCTTTCATCTTACCTTGGCCACAGTTGTGATGTCGTTAAAGTGTGTTTTTAGTTCTTCTTGAGCTGCTTCTCCAAATGAATCATCCTCGGTTTTTCCATAGAGTTCCATAGCTTTTTCTATGAGCTGATGCAAATCACCAGAGTGATCCTCTATCTCAGAAACAACAGCTTGGAAGTGGTCCAGTTGAGCAAACTTCTCTTTCAGACTGATCTGTGGTTCTACAGGATGTTCTGCTTTGTGATTCAGTTTCTCTAGCCACTGCTCCAGCTGGTTCTTCCTTTCCAGATATTCATTCCACTGGCTAATCACCAACTCCAGACAGCTTACATTAAAAGCAAATATACAGTACAGATGAGAAATTTTGAAAGGAAGGAAAAAAAAAAAAAAAAAGAAAGCACACTTGTACCTTGATTCATATTCTCTGTATCTAGGTATGATACATTTAGAAATGCTTTTTCCCTCCATCTTACTTTTACTTTTTCCATCTAAGTCCATGCTATTCTAGATTTCTACTCTTTCGACTATTACATATAGCCCAATACAACTGTACAAATACAAAATAAAAATAAAATACAAATGATTACTCAAGTTCTTAATGTAATAAATTCTCAGTCAAAAAATGTAGAGTGGCCTAGAAAATTATTGGAAATTAAGAAATATTCTAGCAATCTTGGAATCAATTATATGTTGCCTGTTTCCAACCTTTAATAAATGTAATCTTCTTTTATCTCTCTCTCTTCTATCAGATCTCCATATTTCTCTGGGACTTATGTTAAGGTATGTAATTCTGATTTCTTTACATTGTATATAACAGTGCTGGTTTTCATCCAAAATGCAGTAGCTACCCAATCTAAACTGCATTCTGTGACAAAAAGTGGGTAAAGTTTCGCTGAAAAGTTAAAGCCTATCCATCATAATTTTTCACATATAATTCTATCATAATTTTGACAACAATGGGATATTACTGGCAGGGTCCGAACTTTGTTTTCCAAGGAGTTTTACCTCTGCCAGTTCACTGAGGTGTTGATTATGTCATTCCAAACATCCTTCAGTGTTTGCAGCTGGGTTTGTATCACCTTTTGCCCCTCCTCATTGCTGCTTCTAAGTGCCTGTTCTCCCTTGCCAATGGCCATGTTCAGCTTAACCTCTCCATCACCTTTGAGTAACAGGATCTCCTGTGAGGCAAAAAAAAAAAAAAAAAAGAAAGAAAAAAAAAGTAAAGTTATGGCAGGTAAAGGAGATGTTTTCAACAGGGGACGCAATTTTTAATGAACTCATTTACCACTTGAAAACCATGCAAAACATAAATTCCTAGGTACCCTTCCTTACAAGTGCCTGTCCCTTGCTATGTGCTAGTGATGCAAAAACTATGGTCACAGCCATGCAGATATTTCATTTTATCACACTGAAATGCTGACCACAATGCAGCAAATAACAAAAAGGTCAAGCACTGCACAGAAAATCTGCACCACACAGACAGAGGAAATCTCAAGAGAGCTCAGAGCAGGATCACCTACACTTGTGTCTTTCGTAATAAACGTTTAACCCATTGTCAAAACCTGTGAGAAATATGTAATAGACAATTCACATGAACTATTCCAAAGCTTCCCTACCACTACGGTTTTTGGGTTTATATGGTTTATGAAACCATATTTTCCTATCAGCTATTTCTCAGTAAGTGTAGTGCCTTGAACCTTGCACTCTCCATACCCCGTTAAATACCATACAATCATAGAATTATTATGGTTGGAAAAGACTTTCAAGACCATGGAGCCCAACCATAAACCCATCACCACCATGGCTGCTAAATCATGTCCCTAAGTGCCTCATGTACACATTTCTTGAGCAGTCCCCGGGATGGTGACTCCACCACTTCCCTGAGCCGCTTGTTCCAGTGCTTCACCACTCTTTCAGTGCAGATTTTTTCCCTAATATTTAACCTGAATCTCCTCTGGTGCATCTTGAGTCCATTTCCTTTTGTTCTATCAGTAGTTATGGAGAAGAGGCCAACCCCCACCTCACTACAACCTCCTTTCAAGCAGTTGTAGAGAGCAATAACGTCTCTCCTGAGCCTCCTCTTCTCCAGACTAAATAACCCCAGCTCCCTCAGCCGCTCCTCATAAGGTCTGTTCTCCAGACCCTTCACCAGTGTTATCGTCCTTCTTTGGACACACTCATACCATATCTCTCAACTTCTCAAGGTCACTTTATATTCTAATCCTACAATTCTACTCCTTTTATAACCATGGGAAGAAAGAAATATGAAAATATTTCTTTTCCTAAAGTGTGATCCTCATCCAATATTAGTCTTGACACAGTATCTTTAGCTCTTTACCTGAATTTGCATCAGTCGTCTCTCTAGTATGGCTTTGCTGCCAACAGTGCTCTTTGATGATGCCAGTTTATCTTGAACATCTTTCACCCATGACCACATGCTCTGCAGTGCCTCCTCCAAAGCAAGATGCTCCTGGAGTGCAATCTGACATGTTCGCAGTTTATCCTTGACAGTTTTGACCATGTTTTGGTAACTGGTGAGATGCTGAGAAGCCAGGCGCACTTCTCTCCCTGCACCGTGCCCTCCTTCATTTAAAGCCTGGGCCATTTGGGAAAGTTTATCAAAAGACTCTCTGAAAAAAAAAAAAAAATGGAGAGTAAAAATCCATTTCATAAAGTATTGTTAGAGTAGCTATTTGAGGTTATGAATGCTGCTGAGATAATCACCTATTCCACCAGTGATAGACTTCAAAGCTAATGGAAAAGTTATCTGGAAGACTCTAATGGGAAATAAAGCAATATGCATCAATGAATAGCTCTCCTGATGTATCATACCATTTCTCCTATACTTTGGAGCTCTAAACAATCACCCTAAACTCTTCATGCTGCACATTTAAATTAAAATTAAATTGCATTTTCTTTCAGGATGTCAAATTTTCTAGTTTTATATGAGCTGCTACCATTTTGTAACTGTCAAAGACTCTGTGCAGTTATTTTATAGTCCTTGAAAGGTAGGAAAGATGATGGAAAGGTCAGACCATTTGTCCAGGATTAGACACTGAGTATAGGATTCTGAAAAAGGTTCAGCAAAAGGTATCATAACTCCAGCCTTTTACAGCCTGAGTTAATCTGAAGTCTGAGTTAATCTCAAATCATGGGCCCACCCATCCTGCTCCCTCCAGATTACAGGGAATTTACCCCAGACCAAACTGTCTCGCATTAGTCTCAGGGGGATAGGAAGGGGCAGAGTATTTTCTTTCAGCAGGCTCTGAGGCTTGAAAAACAGAATACTATTTTTGTTCTGTCTTCACTAACCTAATAAAAATAAAAGAATTTGAAAACCACAGTGTTCCATAAAAAAGCAGTTACTTCATCTTCCATGGTTAAGCCTGAATTCTAGAAAGATTTCACACAGCTATGTGGCTGTTATTTGGGCTCTTTACGTTCAGTCAGGTTTACATAAAAGTGGGTCCTGCCAATCTCATTGCATCCAAATCCACAGGACAAAAAGAGAAAACAATAAGGAAAAGAAAATAGATAGGTGTCATTGTGGTATTATTTCTTATTAGATACATCTTTAGATATAATATGATACTTCACAGGTTTCAATTATGAATGAAGTAAAATAAGCTTTTCTTAATGAAAAGTAAGAAACTGGATCTGACTTCAATTCAAAGCTGCTTAAAACTAGAAGTATCTGCACTCAGCTTCCTTTCACAGTGTGTGTTCCAACACCTCTATCTATCTTTTCAAAACACTTTCTACTCAAGCAGTTTAGTTTGTTGCTTTATAAGATTAAAAAGAAAAAAAGTGATCTTTTTTAGGAAATGCATTTCATACTACCTTGAAGTCAGCAACTCTTCCAGGAACTTTTCCACTTTCTGCACCTCATTTTTCTTCTCTGGAATAAGCTGTTTGTGCTCTCCTAATGCTTCTGTGCTTATTCTTTCTTCCATTTCATGTATCCACAGGCTGAGTTTCTTGTGCTGATTCTCAAAACTACAGAACAGATAAGTATTTCCTTAAAAATATTTCCCAGGTGGAACAAACTTAGTAAGAAGATCATCCACAAGAACAGGAATATCACTTTAATGCCTAGTGAATGAGAGTTGTACACAAAGCATAATTCTGTAATGACTACTAATCTAAAAATATTCAGCAACTCTCTAAAAATGTTCAGGAAAATCATGGGAACTGCAGGGGGAAAGAACCCTCCAAAATTTAAAGTGGCAGTACTTTTATTTATTAGTATATTCAGTAAAGACAGACTGGATGAAAGATCTTTCTAAATGCTTTTAAAGACTTAAGCTAAGGTTAAAAAAAAATCCATAAATGGGTAGAATGGAGCTTTTACTCAATACTGACATACACAAAAATTGTATAGGCACTTGAAGTGTTGTGCAGTCTACTTTTCTGGCAGAATGTAATTGGAATCTGAAGTGCTCAAAACTCAGCAAACCAGGCTCTGGCTTTAAACTTCTATATTTACAAACCTTTCGCTTAGACAAAGACAGACCAAAAGTTTCCTTCTTGTCTTGCTGTTTTTCTGTTATTACAACAATAACTTTAAATTAGAAACCGTTTTAAACATAATTATGGCTAAATTTGAACCACCATAATCACCTCCCAAATAAATTCAGAGTTACATTCTATTCTCTCCTTAAGAGGTATTTCTATCTAGAAAGGGACAGAAGACAGTGTTGTGTGAAAAGCACACTATCTTCAAAGCCTAGGGCAGAATATGAAAAGGATACCTTTTCATCACACATTTTCACACCCCTTTATACCATGAACCTTACTGCTGACTGGGGATCACATCAGATACACAAACGTTCCACATACGAGTTCCCAATCTTCCATACTTCGAGCAAATCAATACCCTCAGATCAAAACCTCTTGCTTTTTTTTTTTTAAGTGAAGACCTCTTTTCTTAAATGACTTCAAAGCAGGAAGAAAACAGGACTGAAATAAATAACTCAAAACCACTTCAAATTGTGTCTTGAATTTCCACAACCTAAAGATTTCATTCTGCCTATCTGAGACTCCTTGCATTACTCACCTTCCCAGATCTGAGGCACACGCTTCCAGGGCTTGCTTATCTTTCACACACTGGTTGAGGAATTCCTGGAAGCTATGGGTGGACTTTTCTATTTGCTCCTGGATGTGGCTCACAGCTGCTTTTGGTAAACAAGCATACAAATTTTCTCCTTCCTTACAGGCAGCTTCTAATTTGTTCTGTCCCTCACTTACAGAATCTAGCACCACCTGTGTGAGGAATGAATACAGTTTCAACATGAAAGATCTGATAGCTAAAAATAAGCACTGTTTCTACCAGAAGCATCCAAATTTCTCCAGCCATGTCTAGTTAAAGAACAAGTTCAAAGCAGATCTTTTAAATAAAATTGTATTAAACAGCTTTAAGATTTTCGGAGTTGAATTCCTATCTGGTACAAAGACAGCAGTTTCAATAGATGGACTAGGATCTGATCCGGTTGTGCTCTGCTCTAGTAGAAAATGACTCACATAAGCTTTGACATTAGTGTTAATCTACAGGACAGAATAGTGTAAGAAACAATAGGAAGAGGAAGGGAAGATAAAGAAGAGAAAAAAATATAAAAGATTAAACACTAGAAACAAGACTAGTTTAGTTATACATACACCTTCCAGAAATTACAGTTTGATCTGAATGGCAAATCTGAATGAACTGGTTTCCCTGTACCTCTTCTACAGTATCTATTGCTGAGTTGAACAAAGCTTATTTATCTGCTAAAAAAAATAGTTATAAGCATTTCCATATACTAGATACATATAGGTAAAATAGCTATTAACTATACCTGCAAATCATGCAGTTTTGCCTCTATCACTTTGCTGTCTCCAGATCTGTCAGATGATTCTTTTACTGAAGTCTTCACACCAGAAAACCATTCTTGGAATTCTTGCATAGAGCCTTATTTAATAAGAAAAGTGCAGAGAAGAGAATATTGTTTCAAGAAGCAGCATTATCAGCAATAATGTACATGTGCCTCCACACTTCACAAGTCTTTCATAAATAAGTCTGCAAATGCTACAAGGATGAGTCTTACTTCCTTCTATGACCCTAGGACTAATTTCATAATATGTTAGATGTTTCCAGTACAAACATATAAATGTGAGAAGTCACACTAAGTTGCCCTTTAGAGTTAATGAGAAAGACAGGCATTTCAGGCTGTGATTTATCTGGCCCAATTTAATGCTGGATAAATATCTCTTTTAAGATTAAATAAATGTCTACTTCTCCCTACCAATTAACAAGTGAGCCCAGGAATTAGCTCCGATGTAGACATTAGAAACATGTTCATTTGATTAAATCCCTCTCAGAATGGGAAATACATGAAGTATGTAATACTTCCACAAAGAAGGGGAAATATATGAGAATGTGAAGAAGCAACAGATAAATTGAAGAAAGGCAGAACTTCAGTTAGAGTGTTAAATGTTTAAAGATGAATTTTGTGTTTTGCAAAACACATTGTTTTGCAGCAGATATGAAGTGAACACTTGGTAACAGGACTCTCTGAAAGTCAAATACAAAAATAAAGTTGTAACTGCAAGTGACATCACTGGAAACACTGGCAGGCTGCTTTTTGGCAAAATGATTCATGGCTGCGGGCTAACGGCTCATATTAACAAGCCTGAAGACTCACTGAGAAAGTGTTTTTCCAAGGACTCCTGCATGCTGGCTTGTGTCCTGGAACAGAGCTGATTCACAGCTTCATACTTCTTTAATAATGAAGTGACACTGCCACCAAGAGTCTCCAGCTCCACAGAGTGGTACTTGCGACACAGGCTGTTGAGGTTCTCCCGCGTTGAGTCAATACTGTTCTGTTGAAGCTGAAGGTCTCTTTGCGTCTCCTGAGAATGCAGTTACAGCACAAATACTACATTTCTGAAGAAACAAGAGAAACATTTCTTTTCTTTAAGATTCCTACCCTTCCCACATGCTCCTTCCTCCTGTGGTACACTGCAAATCCTAGACAGAGGCAACAGGTACTAGATCATGGTTCCCGAGTTTTTCCAGATGAGATAGATCCATGAAACTAAAGAGTCAGAACAGAAAACTGAAATCTTCTTCATGCTTTTGCACTCTATTTTAAAAATAACAATTTTCAAGACATACTGAATACCCTTGCTTATTTTCAGCAAAGTCTAAAAGGACACACGAGATGCACGACACCACTGGTGTTTCTGGGACTTGTGAATGAAAAGGAGCTCTTGTTTGTCTGGAGAAAATATTTATTCCCAAAATACATGTAAATTAGCTAGTACATCAGCACTGGTGTGTTTTTCATGATAAAATAATTTCTACACTCTTTGCCACATCAAGATGTACATAACTATATGCAATCAAGAGAGCACTAGGATAGAGAACAAAAGAATTGTTATATATGAAGACTGATGAAAATTTCTGAAATAGAAAGTTGTGTTAAACTGAGTTCAGTTCAAAGTCTTACTTTTGTGAGTTAAAAAATACACAAAAAGTGCAGGGGGGTGTCTGTGTGAACTGACATGTAAACAAGCATGCTGGAGAAATAACTGAAGAATTCAGCGTAATGAAATGGGTTCTTGTTGCAATAAAGACTGCACTATTCCTTACAATTTTCTAAAATGTGTATATTTAAGTATGAATATGATATATCAGAAATTTTGCTCACTGGTGGAACTTCTTCAAGAAGATGACTATGTTGTTTGCTCATATTCTAAAAGGTAGACAACATATATATTCTTATCATTTTCTCATTTTTTTTCTCATGAAATGAAAATTAACATGAAAGACAATATTTAATTGTTGTTATATATGATTAGCAGAAAGTCTGAAAAAAAACAAATGTCACTACATAATGGTATACTCATCTTTTTGAGCACTGACCTTCACTTTAATTACAGCTTCAGGGTTCATGTTACGGGCACAGCTGAGCAAGGTCTCTTCGACTGTTGTCAACCAGTCTGCCATCTGATTGATAAGCTTCTGTAACTGTGCCTTCTGAGTACTGAAATCTTTCAGTGTCTCTTCTGCTGTCTCTAACATTTCTTTGGCATGTTCCAACTTTTGCCTCAAATCTGATTCTATGAACTAAAAGCAAAACGTAATTTGTTAAACTGTTAAAATGAAGCAATTCTCATTTTAACAAGAGAACTGAAAGTTTATGAAAAAAAAGGAAAGCAGGAAAGTGACAGACAATGATCATTTTGCTCTCTTTTCATCCATAATTATAAATACTCACTTGAATAAAAAATTGAAGCCTTTCAGGATCAAACCTGAGCTCTACAGAAAGTCAAAGAAGTCATACTAACTTCCAAAAAGCCAGACTGCAAACTGATGTGTTATCATCAGCCTCTCAGAAATAAACAGCTGATCTCTTTCTTTTACAACACATCCCATACATATATAACAAGACCTAAATACAACTAATGCTATATAATGAAAGGTTGTTAAGACTTATGGAGTGTTGAGGCTTATAGAATTTATATGTAAGACTGAAACAAATTGAAAACACAAAAAAATACTAGACATTATTCCTTAATCTGTTTAAACAAAACAATATGTGTAATTATAATAGATGTTTGCTGTGTACATTTTACTAATTAAAAGCAGATCCAATCACTCATAATAGGATAGTATCTATAAATGAGCAATTCCTAAGATTTCTCTTAATAAATTAATTCCCTTTTGTTTTCTTAATGTGACCTGATAATACTATAACTGTCTTAAATATATCCAACATGTGCTCAATTATTTTGCGGATTTATGTTTTACTAGGGACTTAAAATTTCTATTTTACATTGATATATTAACTTCAGTTAATTTATTGTAACTGATTTTTCTTTTTATATATCACATTCAATAATTGAAAATGAGTGTGTTGTTTAACAGTTACGTACTGCAAAATAGCACATTCCTAGTTTTCTTCTGTAAGTGGATGGATATCAAATTCATATAAAGCTCTGAAATCTGAAGTTTCTTAGCCTCTCATGTAAAAAGAATAGTGAGAACAGAGGCATCAGCACAGGTTTTTACTATAGGTATAGTAGGTCATACTTTGTGATACTATTTAGTAAAATATCTAAATTGCTAATTTAGGCTTATGTTTGAGTCATGGCATAATCTGGAAAAGGTTTGAGTGTTAGGTCGAGTTCAGCTAAAATTGATCAATGCTTTTGAAAAAAAATATTTAATTGAGATACTTCTCTGCTTGTGTAAATCCCACAGTCAGCTTTTAAAATTTCTGACATATTGGAATTTGATAATATCAGAGAATCATTTCGCATTTGAAACCAAACACACAAAAATATATTTTTGGGTGCTCTGTTCCATATTTTTATGTTCCCTAAAACTTAAAAATATAAGGATCTAGCCAGTCGTAAAAGTTCAACAGGTCAAGGTTTCTGTTTTATTCATTTTTGGTAACCGTTAGTTCAGGGCACTAATTCCGGTCTACTAAAGTCTTCTGTTTCACTACCTCTACATTAGAAGACGTTCAAAGAGGGAAACTCTCTACATATCCACATATGATAGGGCTTAATGCTGTGCAATATTGAGAATACCTGCATCATACCTCATTAGACACCTGGTAAACTGCAATTTTTGAACTTAAAAACAAAAAAAAACCAAAAAGTCTACAACTCTAATCTCCAATTAAAACATCCTTACTTAGAAAAAACAACAGTGACTAAGGAACACAGATAGCAACCATAAGCCATGATCTGTAACAGCAACATATTTATATGAGACAAAGTGTAACAGTTTCTTCTTGGTCATTTGAACCTAGACTGTGATCAACAATGTCCTTTTTACCTGAAGATCTGCAGGAGGCTCTTGACTGTGGGTCAGTTCTTTGAGATCTGAAATTTTTGAACTAAGCAGCTCCAACTTTAGTTCCATGTCCTTGAATTCAGTCTGCAAAAGAAATTTAGTCAACATTTCATACCAAACAACAAAAAGGATTTAGACCTTCAGAGGAATGCTCCATGAAATGGAAAAAAAAAAAAATAAAGAAAATGTAAACTAGGTTTAGCGATTAAAGGCAAACATAATTGTTCTATTAAGTTTTCTTCTCTAAAAATCTTCCATCTCCTTTTCTTTAGTGTATTAGTGTATTAAATTCAGAGATTTCACTCTGCTGCCTTAAAACAATCACACACGTTTTAGCATTTAAAATGCACGAGCAGCTTTAGTTTCTAAAAAGTGGCTGAATAAAAATGAGAATGTCATTGTTTATTTGACTGGAAAAATCCACTGTGGTTGTTAGGTTTCACTTGATGTAATGCAGACTATAATATATGTGTTCTCTGTTTTTTATTACAGGGAAGTGAACTCTTGGAAAAAATTAGACATAGAACTAAATTTTATGCTGAAAAGAGATTTAAAATATAAATGCTGCCCACATGGCTGCTGCTGCTATCATAGAATCCTTAAGGATGGAGAGATCATCGAGTCCAACCCCCCTGCTCACGCAGGGTCACCAACAGCACGTGGCACAGGGCTGCGTCCAAGTGGGTTTTGAAGATCTCCAGAGAAGGAGACTCCACAACCTCTCTGGGCAGCCTGTGCCAGGGCTCTCCTACCCTCAATGCCAAGAAAGATTTCCTTAAGTTCCTGTGGAACTTTTGGTACTTCAGTTTGTTTCCTCTACGTCTATCAGTGGCCACCACTGAAAAGAGGCCGCCCCCCTCCTCCTCACTGCCTCCCTTGAGGTATTTATACACGCTGATCAGGTCCCCCCTCAGCCTTCTCTTCTCCAGGCTGAACAGACCCAGCTCCCTCAGCCTTTGCTCACAGGACAGATGTTCCAGGCCCCTGATCATCCTGGTAGTCCTGCGCTGGACTCTCTCCAGCAGCTCCACATCCCTCTTGTACTGGGGAGCCCAGAACTGGGCACAGAGTTCTGGAGGCGGCCTCACCAGGGCTGAGTAGAGGGGAACAATCACCTCCCTTGACCTATTAAGACCTTGCATTTACTCTAGATATATATGTCTAAGTTATACAGAAATATTTAATTTACAAAAGAAAAAAAATAGTAACAAGATAAAGAAAATAATGATTTTGATATAGTTATTTTGAAATATTAGACATATAATTGGTGCATGTGTCTATACTATTACGCAGACTTCGTTTTCTAGAAAATTCAAACAGATCACTGATTAAAATAGAACCAGAGATTTAAGGATAAAATTGCTGCATTTAATTTCTACACTGACACGGCAGAAGTTCAGGTTCAGAAGTATCCTCAGGGGTCATTTTGCACTAAAGGGATGTGACATCAGCTGAGATGGGATAGAAAGGAACCACTGCTATATCCCACATAATAGATACTGAATACTCCTTTCTATGCTCATCTATTTCTGATTGCTGAAATGGTAGACCTCATGTGCCAGTAAACAGGTTTTCCTCTGTAGCCTGTTTACAAAGGTGGGGCAAAAAATCTATGATGGACTATGTATTTTGTGACTGCAAACATACACAGTCCTCAATATCCTCTGCCGCTATGGCCCTTCTCTGATTTAGGTATATCTGTGGTTCAGGCACTGGCTGGTCCTACGCCAGATTAGTTTTATTATAGATTTATATTGGTGGTCTCATTGCTGTTGTAAACAGAAAGTTCTTAAATACAGTTCTACTCTCAGCAAAAACAAAGATGCTTTAGCACCATTTCACTTTTGATTGTATTGCGTGTATATGTTCACTATGCATCTTCTTACGAGCATTATTTATTTCAAATTTAACAGACTAGGAGTCATTCTGTGTTTGACCTGTTATATATTTTAAGTCAATGGTGGCAGAATTCTTTTCAAGCACTGCTTGTATTTCTAAAATAATGCAACACTACCCGAACAGGTAAGATAAAATGCTAGTGAAACTGCTATAATTCAATATTAAAATCTGCTCTGTACTTCACTCGCCTTTTTTATTGTACTGTCTGAAGGATCCAGCTCCTAAGACAAGATTTGTAAAGACTCTTATTTGTTTTTCTTAACCTTAGCTGAACTTTTCCTTTGGAACAGGATTTGGTCCAATGCTATGCTTTTTGAAATTTATTTTCTTACAGACCAGACTGACATGTATTGCTAGAGCCAAAACACAGGGCTTAGATTCAGTAAGAGTTACATTATTCTTGTTTCTGTCAGAAAAAGTCAGTTTGAACAAAAAGTTTAGAGTTCTGTCAGCTAGCCCTTGGGTTAGTGATATCATTAACTAAGCAGAAGACACAGTGAGCTGCAACAGCATAGTCTTATATTTGTGACTGTTACGCGCAGAGAATTTGGCCTAGAAGATACAGACATTTTTACACTGATTTACAGGTTTTACCTGGAACTCTTTGAGTATGACCTCCATTTTCTGACTATTACTCAATTTGCTGATGCCTTCATTCAGTTCAGAAATGCATTTATTGCACCATCCATCCAGTTCATCTCCAGTTTTCAGTATGTCATCCCACAGAGACACGCTTGCTCTCAACCGGTCTATGTTGTCTTCAATCCTTTCAGACACCTTTTAAAAATGGAAAAAACATCAATACCATTCAGAAATGGCATAGAAATTTCTTTATTTTCAGCTCAATTTTAAGAAAGAATTAGTAATTCTAGCATTAGAAAAATATAGTATATCTAAGTAAAATAAGTTTCCTCTTAGAAATATGTGTACGTTCAAAGCAATAAGAAATTATAATTTCAAATCAATTTCCTGTATCATAAAAATAATAAAATTCCTATGTGACATTTTCTAAAAACCTATACATTTTTGATTGGGAAAGAATTTTTTGTTCAAATAAACTTTATTTTTAAGAACAGTTACTGTTAGCTTTATTAAGTAATATAAGAATTTGCTAATAAATCTGTATATAAACTTGAAAACATAAAACACTAGCTTTTGTGTCATGTTTCTCTGCTGTGTCTTTCTCACTATATCTACATCTTATTATGATCATGATTGAAATTAAAATTTCAATATTTTTAATTTAGCACAATCTATTGATTAATTTATTTAATCCAATTTAATTTACTGAAATAATACTGATGTACATTAGCTAATAATTCAACCCGAAGTTATATATCAAAGTGTGCACTGAGATAATATATACCTGTTATTTTCCTACACTGTTTGTTATAAGACATCTTGATAAATCTAGTAAATTAATGTTATAACTCTGTGCATACAAAACATGTTAAATGTCTACAAACATCACAGAATCACAGAATGGTTGAGGTTGGAAAGGACTTCTAGAGATCACCCAGTCCAACCCCCCTGCTCCAGCAGGGACACTCAGAGCACGGGGCACAGGTCGGCATCCAGGCGGGTTTGGAAGATCTCCAGAGAAGGAGACTCCACAGCCTCCCTGGGCAGCCTGTGCCAGGGCTCTGGCACCCTCACAGTAGAGAAGTTCTTCCTCACATGGAGATCCTTCTGAGATATATTTCAAAGTAAACTCTCCTAAGCCATGGCATTTTAAGACTCTAAGAAAATACTAATACTGCAACGTTTTCTCCTCCTAAAAACTGTATTCAGTGAATAAGCATCAGATTCTTACATCGAGCCATTTGTCCACTGTACAGTTCATATCTGTCTTCACCACAGTGGGGTCACAGTCACGGACTCTTTTCAATTCTGCTAGCAAATGTTTTCCTTTATTGGTGAAAGTATCCAGGTCTTTTTGTTTATCACTCAGATCATTCTTGGCAGCTTCGTGCTGTGAACATAAATATTTATAAATATTTATAAATATTTGTTTGTTTAATGAACCTTGAAGAAAGAAAGAAAAATCCAGTTCTCCAGACACCCATGCCTTGTCCCACAGGATTAACTACATCTGTTAAATCTGTCAGTATGCCATCTAACATTTAACTACATCACAAAACACAGAATAATGGGGATTTTTTTTCCCCACAAATGTCGTAATTAAGGTTTTTCCTCATAATTAAAGCACAAGTGGGAATACTAAATTCTAGATGTACACTGCAAACAAGTGGGCAAAATATTTGCTGTCCTCAGTTCCTTCAGGTCCAGGTATAATTATCATTGAACAGAGCTTGCCAAGGCTCACATTAAAGAAATATATTATATGGAATCTATACATCTTTATACACTGGTATTGCAACTCTAGGGTCTAAAATAAATCTATGCTCTAATTCCCTCTTGATAAATATTTGACATATAATTCTAGTTAAGATGTCTATTAAAAGAACCCTAAAAATATGTATACTTTAGAATGATGGTTACATAATTCTGACTGCTGAATTTTTAATACGAGCTCCATAGACTTTCAAATGAAATTATTCTCCAAATGAATGGAAACAATTTAACTCAGAACATTTATTTTAGGTTGATGGTTTAAGAATAACTTGGACTAATACAGTTAGGAATGTTAAAAATATAATTTAAATGAAATGAGTGGAATGTAGGATCCAACTTCCTTATCTCTTCTCAATAGCCAGTATCAACATTGTATCCCTTTCAATGAAGTAGTCTTAGGCAGCGACAGACATAAAAGGGCGTCAAACTTCAGAAAAAGTGAGATTTGTGTTTGAAGAGACATCAATGTTTTCTTTTTTTCCTATCATAGAGAATAATATTTCAGTGTCAGATTTTTTTTTTTTTCACTGGCTTTTATCCATTCAAAGAAATATCCAATATGGAAGAACACTGAAGTATTTTGATTGGAAATATCTTCTCATATGGTGATAGGAATACATTTTTTAATGATTTTATATATAAAACAGATTTCCATATAGCAAAGTTTTCCATATAAATTAACACTGTACAATTTTAGGTGTTAAAATGTAATTTGAAATAGCAGCATTCAGATACACATTAATGGATCTCACCAAAAGCACAGAAAAGATTGTATTCTTTCCTCTTTATCAGAGGCAGTCGGATTGAAATTCTGAGTGTCATTTTGACAAGATTTGACAGTAAGTTCGAAAAAACTTTAAACATAGCTCAAAGGATGCTTTTTAAACAGAAAAATCCACTGAAGTCAAAGATGAGTTAAATCCCTCAAATAAAAATGCTTATAATTAATTACCTTTGATAAAGTTCTCCTGACATCTTCATGATCCTTCCAAACGGATTTGATCACAGAAGCACTGTCGGCACTGTCTATGACTTTCATTACCATTGACTTCAAAGTCTGATATTCCTTCATCAGATTGATAAGAACACAGCACTGATCCTTTCTGAAATGGGAGAAGGCTGTGTCAAACCGCATTGCTCACTGCACTGCTGCTGAAGCAAGAGAGCGTGACATAGCAGTTCATCACGGTGTGCAAGTAAGAAACAGGATGGAGCGGTACGTTATTTTTTTCAGCTATTTTTTGAAACATTATTTTGAGCTTTTAGAAATCACTTGAGGTCCGTACATCATAAAGCACTTGACTGAGGAAAATATATGAATTCTCATCTCATACACAGCAAATCCTGAACAAGGTGACTTGAGCAAAAGGAACACCGGAACTTGAACATAAAGTTCTCACTTCCTGAATTAAGCTGACTGAAAACCACAGTGTAATGCTTTTGGCTCTTGCAGCTCATTTATTTAACCTGTTTCTTTATTATGGAGAATTAGAAAGCTTTTTAGAGAAAAAGGACCAAAATAAAGACAAGCAATGTGAAATAAGTCTGGCAATTTCATCTTCCAATTGTAAGACATACGTGTTGGGATTTAAAACCTTATAATTAACTCATCTGTCATTCTAGTGAAAACAGAACAACACGCTGCCAGAAACAGACCTATTTTTTACTTATTTTTCTTTACAAAAACCTATTTATATTCAGGCAGCGGGCAGGAGGAAAAAACACATTAAATCTATTCTTGGTCTTTCTGCTAGAGAGAACAAAGAGCTCTAAGTGTGTTTTACTTCTGCACTTAAACAAAATGAGTAATCAGAATGATGTAGTTCTGAACGGATGTAACACTTATCACAAAAAAAGCATATGAAAATTAAAAAAGAATATCTGAAGAAGTTTTCTTTTAAAGATGATGACTGTGTATTAAGATCAGGAAAAACTAAGAAGAAAGCTTATTTAGAGGATACCACTGATATACAAAACTGTATCATATCACTGATTATACAATAATGACTGTTACATGCCTCATCCTTTGGGCTGTCAAAAAGATTTTAAATTCAGGAATGAATTCAGATCACTCAATAGAAGATTTTTGGAAATATACAGATAGTACAGAAGGAAAATGTACGCTAGAAAGTACGTTTTAGATAGAGTGACAGTGTAATCTTAACAGAGATTGTTTATTTTCAGGCAAGTAAAAAAGTACACAAGTAAAAGCTTAGTAATAGGTAAAATTACTTTCTTGAAGTAATCATTCAAATATATGAACAAGTAATCAATGAAATTTCTTGATCTTTGGCTTTATTAAAAATGTAATGGGAACCTGTACAAGTATCCTAGTTTATATTGTGACTTTTAAGCTTTAGCTCGGCATTTAACATGTAGTTTCTGGTTTTTATTGGGAAGCCATAATAAATTGGGAAGTAAGACATTAAACCCAAGTAAAAGCTCCCTCTCCCTCACTAAAAGGAGGACACTTTCTTCTATAATTTAAAATATAAGATTTACTTACTTTTCATGTATAGCTTTCTTGGTATCTTCCCACAGAGATTCTAAGCAATTTATCTCTTTGTCAATCACCGGAGAAAGAGTTATATCTTTTTGGGCTATTTGCTTTGCTTTGTCCATGAGCCACTGAAGTTCATGCTGGTGAGAATTCAATTCCTCATCCAGTTGGTTAAAGATCCTTAATCTGCAAGTTAAAATGCAAATTACAAATTTACATAGCTTCACTTTTATGAAAGAGAGAACAGGAGTAAGAAAGGAAGAGTTACTCATAGAGTTACTAGGCATAAAGTTACTTTTTTTTACCCTAATATTTCCTACAATATCTTTTGAAAACAAAGTTTCACCTGTTTTTTCCCTGCTACAATTCGCAGAATGTGATTTCTTTTGAAATATAAATCACTATACAACTACGTAGATGGTATATATACCTTCACCTGACAAAGTGACTTGAAAATATATTCAAAAATTTAATATAATACCTTATTATAGTGTATTTTCAACAGCTTCTAGCACTTGTATAATTTCCAATTACATAAGAATAGAAATAGCTATTTTGTATGGGATTTCTAATAACTGTTTGGAGCTAAGTGTTTTGCTCATATTTTTCTTCTATACAGGCAGCCCACTTATGAAATACTATTATACCTACCTTATAGGTACAAGGACTGATGTGCTTTGCAAAATGCCAATATATAAGGTGCTCAGCAATTAATCTTGCACATATTTCCAGCTCATCAGAAAGTCAAAGGAATGTAGGCAAATGAAGAAGTGCCAAAAGTTTTTACCTTTGCTGGAGTGCTTGCAGTGTTGCCTCCTTCAGACCTTCCTTGTCAGCTCTTTCCTCAGTATCTTCAATGCTCTTCAGTAGCTGTTCCTTCCGTTCCACGAAAGATCTCCGCAAGGCTCCCAGAGCTTCCGCCTCACTTTGCTTGGTTCCCAGCAGGTTTTGAACTGTCTCCAGTTCCAAACACAGATTATCAACCACAGCCCTGCAGGAGGTCCTCTGCTCAGAAATGCCGTGTTTTAGATGATACTGGACCTTAGTAAGGGAACCATCCAAATTGATGGCCACAGACTCCAGCTTGCTAAGATTTTGAATAACATCATTCAGTTCCTTCTCCAGTAACTTAGATTTAGCTTTATCCATATTTCCTGTTTTCTCTAATGTCTGCCTCAGCCGGTGGAGCACACTTGATGTAGCATCGTGGAGCTCCAGGAACACCTGTAGCTGTTCCAGGGTCTCTTGTCTCTGGCTGGTTATTTGTTTTGCCTCCTGGAAGATCTGAAAGCAATCTTCAGCCTTACCCTGCAATGTTTGGTGGTCCTCTGGGCAGCTGAAAGAGCATAGTTTTTCTACATGTTCTTTCAGACTTTGTAGCTGCTGGTTTTTACTTTCAATTTCCTTTAAGTGGTCCTGTGGGAAAGAAAGAAAATATGAGAACATTTCTTTTTACCCTAGTCAAAAGTTTAGAGAACATTTTAGCACTGAACTTATTGGTGCAATAAGTACTACAAATGGGATTCTAATATAAGCAGTTGAGCATTGTGATTTGCTTTGATTCAGTCCCATAACAGAAGTCTTTATGTAGTTACATGAGAGTATCATTTTTCAAGCACAAGCCATGCTAGTTTAGGGTGAATTTTTAACTGAATGCGCAGTACAACCTTTCTGCCTTAAATATTTATGTGCAAAGTTTACCTTATTATGAGATACAGCTAGTTGTTGATTGGCTGTGTTAATTTCTGAAGTGGCTTGTAGTTTGGCGAGGAACTGCTTAATCCAGTCTGAAAAACTGAGGAGTAGCTCATCAAACTGCTCATGTTCAGCGACAAGAGACCGAAGGAAACTGATCCTGTAGGATGTTAGATATAAACATGAAATCACTTGATGTGAATTAATCATTCCCCAGAATCAAACCCACTAGATAATACTACTAACAGTACCACATGGAAAGAAAGAAGGAAAAAAAATGTGAATTAATTTTTTGGGTGTGATTATTACTATGCTGATTTCTAAGCTGGGGAATAACATAACACTGCCTGAAAGTAACAGTTTGACTCTTCCCTGTTTCTACATTTTTATTTGTATCTAATGATAGAAGCACCCCAACACATCAAGGTATATTCCTCATTTTTCCTTTGTAGGGATAGTCTCAGTAAAGATAATGCTACTGATGGAAGTTAAAATTCAATTTTCAGATGTAGCAAAATTTCTTTTAATATCTGGAACACTACATTTAAAAGAAAGTGTGTTATGAATATAGATGGGGAGTAAACAAGGGCTAAATGCTAGCTGTACTGTGTTCAAGGTAACACAGCGTGGGATTCTATTCAGAGGAGTACTTGGTACCTAGCGGAACTAAGCTTTTAAATGTTAATTTTAAAAAGGTCACCAGTTGCAAGATTTCCCAAATGGAATTCTCTGCATAATTGTCAAGATGAAATTCTATGTAAAAGATGGTTATATTGTAAAATAAAGATATTTATAAAATACCTATCTCATAGACATGTCAGGAACATGTCATATTATTTCAAGTACCTTGTAGATAGTAAAAAATATACGTTAATCACCAAAGAGATTGAAATCTAAATCCATGGTAACACTCAGTTTCAAAAAAGGAGGCACAGTCACTGAGTCTAAGATGAAGCAGCAGTCAAACATCCAATTATTTACAGTTGTTATGGCAAACAAAGGCTTCAAGTTGGTTTAAAAGGACAATACTGGGGCTTTGCAAAAGGTAATGCATATAACTGAAGAAAGAAAGGGCAGAACACCTGGAAGTAATTGAAAGGAAGGGAAGTAACACCTAGGAATTTACAATCAACTTGAAATGAAGGAAAAAGTTGATGTAAACAGTAGTTGCTGGACTGTTTTTTGTTGTTGTTGTTGTTGTTTTTTAGGGCAGGGATACAAGCTCGCTGGTTCACTTTACTGCCAGCACAGCAGATGAAAGGAATGGTGTGAACAAAATTATTGAAGGTAGTTTTCATTCACTGCATTTTTGTAAGACATAATATTTCTATTTCATGCTCTCTCCTACAGATCAGGAATTCTCATCCTTAAATGGATCTCAAAAGAGGTTGCTTACAAAACTGGATGCTGAGGATCCAAATCTAGAGATGCAGAAAACTCATGTTTCCTGACATTACACCACAGATTGGTGCAATTTCAGTTGAATGCTACTTGATTCCTCTAATCTCCTGCTTACTCTTTCTAACCTTCCATCCTCATGGATTTTTCAGTTGCTAGGGTACAGATGGCTCACTCATCAGGTATTCAAACCATGCAACCCTCAAATGGTTACATTAAATTATTTGGAAAAATAAGTAAGTGTGAAAATACAATCTATCTTTGCCATTTCTTCTCCTGCATCTGTGCATTGTAACATTTATATCCATAAATCTTTTTCAAATAGTCATGCTGAAAAACTAAGTTTGAGGATCGAAATTTCCCACCTGAACACTATTTACTACCATTGAACATATTGAACAAAAAGCATGAAGGAGCACAAACCTTTTATCAACAGTTTGTGGTAAAGTTTTCCACCTCTCATCTAGCTCTTCAAATTTTTCTTTAACCACTTTTGCACACTGTTTGGAAGCTGTTGGAAACAGTGACTCATTTAACTGTAGTAGGTTTGCATAGACTGAAGCATGGGACTCAACTTCAGCTTGTAAATCCTGGGAACACAATAGAATATATAGCCTTTACATTGGAAATTGCATTACTTTAAGCCAAATAACAATAATAGCACTTTGAAACAAAGGCATAAGCACAACCAAATCCTTAGAGGAATACAGTTCCACCTAGGTCTCATGAAGGTGTTCACTCACAGACAGCTACATCTGCAGCCATAATTCAGCAAGGATTCATAAAAGATCTTTTTCTGCTCATGACAAAACATGACCTTTCCATACAACTCCACTATCTCATGACAATGGCTAAAATCAAGACTGTTTTGCATCACACTTTTTTTTCCACTTTAGCCAATCACAAGAATCGGAAATGTAATAAGAATATCTTTTAGTCCAAACATACCTGTACTGACTGCAGTTCACCTTCTAGTTTAACTCTGTCAGCAGAAACATATTGGTCTGAAGGTCTGGCTGCAGCTTCACATCCCTCTAACCAGCTCAGGAAGGCAGAGAGCTCTTTCTCCTGCCTAACAGAAATAATGTGGAGTTATCAGGTCAGGTTGTGCCCTCCTTCTCACAGACTGTCCAAAAGGTCTGTCATAATAATGGTGAGAGTTTACTCACTTCTGCCACTGTGTGAGAAGAGTCTCTAATACAGCCTGTTTCTCTTTAGCATTTTCTAACACTTTTTCATATTTCTGTTGTAACTGTGTCACCTCCTCACCAGCTTTTTCTTTGTTGGAGACCTTTCGGGCACAGGCTGAGACAGAGCCCAGAGCATTGCTCAGTTTCTCCACATTATGACAAAGATCCTGATAGACGTGAAAAAGAAAGAGGTGTCAGATACATAAACGAGAGCTAGAACAATAACAGTGGTGGGCAAAACTGGACTCTTCCATGCACACCAAAAGCCCTGGATGGTGGAGTCACTGCACAGGATGCAGTTCTCACATCTGGCCTAGACACACAGGCCCCAAAGCTTCCTGATCAGCACCAGTCTGTAGCAGAGAAAGATTTTCCTAAGAAATCCCTATGAATTTCCTATGAGCTAAGGAGAACAGTGCCAGCAACAAAGGAATCAGACCTCTGAGTGAACATGTAACACCATAGGATCATACAAGATCAAGTGCCAAATTCCCTGCCATTCCAATATGTGAGGATGGTCACACCTGTCCCCCATGTCACCACATGGGAAAGATATAGGAACAGTGTCAACGTCAGCCAAATATCTTTTATATGGAAATAGCATCTACTGTGGAATTGACTTGCTGTGTCCCATCTCTAAAGGGCTGAGATTTTTTTTCTTCATGTGGAAATGAATGAAAAATAGTAAAATGAGATACAAAAACATAGATTTGAGACTAATAAAGTTACAACTAATCATTTTGCAGTAATAACAACAGCAACAACGGTTATAATTACAGTAATCATGAAAGCAACACTATACATGAGAAATGTGAATTACACAGCAACAAACTGCTGATGTTTAAATTAAATAATAAAATATAATTTTATACTAAGGCATGAAATCATTGTGGCCTGTCTTCTTCTGTCTGTGGCATGTCTTCTTACACAAAACCTTTGCAAGTAGCTGTCATTAAGTTCAGAAGAAATTTTATGTATATTTCCGCACAAGTAATCTGATTAAATTCTGTACAATATTTTTGTGGAAAGAAACATCTGTGGTAGAAAGAATACATTACATACTTACAGAGAAGGACAAAAACGTTACATCAAATGCCCTCAGATTTAGCCCTTTCTTTTTGGTAGTCTGAACAACCAAATCCATTATTTGTCTCCATTTAAAAAAGATTGACCAAAAAGTCAAACATCCCTAGACTTTTGGCACCACAGATAAAAACCGTCCATTTTTACAGGTACAACTTCATCTAGTCTTACTGATGAAAACTGTGTCTAGTCAGCATAGGGCCAAAGAAAGCCTATTTCCAAGGAAATTTCTCTAACAAGACCCAAAATTCATAACAATCTTCAGGAGAAACACTAACAGATATATTTCTGAAAATGCTTTTGATGCATGAATTCAAACCAAAAACCTGGAGCTCAATACATTCTTTTATGCTCACTTTTTTTTTTTTTTTTCCTTCTCACAGCAGTGAGAGGCTTCTTCCCACTTAGAAAGCATCTCCCTCTTCCACAACTTACCTAAACTGATGTATTTTCCACTTTGCTCCATGGACCCTCGAGAGCAGCCTGGCACCGAGGATGCCTCAAGGTGCAGCACTGATCACAGGGCAACCTGCTCTAGGCTCCCCATGAGGCTGCCTGCCCCAATCTGCCCTGCAGGACCAGGCAGGTCCTTGGCCAAGAGGATATTCCCACTCCCTATTTCACAAGCCCTTTCTGTACTGCCCTGTGCTGCACTCTTCCCAGCTGCAGCACCAGGACTCCCCAGCCAGGCTCTCACCATATGATCCTGAAGGATCCCGTATGTTGCCACTGAAGAGGAACATGATGTAAGGGGCTCGGCCAGCTTAGCTTCAAACTCAGATACTGCTTGCTGTACCTAAGAAGTAAAAGTAAATCAGAGAGTCTAAAAAGAATGCAAAAGAGACACCATGATTTAAAAGGTATTTTATAAGTATTTAGCTCTAAGAGCATTTTATTTATTTATTTATTTATTTTTGTGCTCAAAGTCTACTGAGGTTAAGGGATGCTGACTGCACACAGCTTCTTGCGGCTGGGAAAATAACAATATTCAAATTATTCCCTTGTAATGTGCTTCTATAAACAAAATGAGATTGAGATTATACCATTTCTAACAAGTCTGAATGTGGTTTACCACCGCAACATCTAGGCTAAGAATTACTTAGTCTGTTCAAAATACTTTAAATACTTTTTTTTTTTTGTTCTGTTTTTGAGTGTCAGTATATTAGTATATTCTTGAACCTCCTTTTTAAGTCAATCAAAGCACATATTTACCTACAAATGTTTTGAAATTATCTTTTAAAGACATATATTCTATCCATATATTCCAGTTCATGTAATTAGTATGACAACTTATATTCCATCTAAGAAAAAAAAGAGGCAATTCTATACATTGCTGGAAATGAAAGATTTTGCATTTTCTACCTGTTTGAGACTTTCTTCATATTTCTGCTGTGCTGATGCATTCCCTGTGATTGTTCCTTCCAATCTCTGTGCATGATCTTTTAGTTCTTCCCAATACCTTTTGACCTGAGTCAGTTTGGCTTTAATATGTGCACATTCTCCAGAGGTAACAAATTGTGATAAAGACTGGGCTTCCTCTTCTAGTTTGGGAATTCCATTTATTTTGTCATCTATTTCTTTATTAATAACCTAAAATGTAAAGTAATAGCATATAATGAATTACAGTAAGATTTTATTTTTATCTTTGTATTTAAAAAATAATATCTAACTACCTTCACATAATTTCCTTGTTTAACTATGCTGCTATTTTTTTTCCATTAAGAATGAATAAGAGGAGAGTTCAGTGACCATTTGAAATAACTGGTAGGAAAGTCCTTCCTGCAAGCTTCCTTTTTGAAAAACAGCCTGCTCTAAAAACATCATTTATAAGAAAATGAATTACAAGAGGCTGAGATGCACAGCTTCATAAGCAGACAAAATAGTTGACATTTTAGCATCTCCTGCTTCACAGTAAATCAATGACCAGTGTTCTTCAAGTGTTGAAACAAATATAACAATCACCGAGATAAAAGAAAAAATGGAATATAACTCAATGTCTTTGAAAAACTGGATCATAACAATTAAGCATTTAATAAGTTTTAAAGAAAATAAATCATGCCATGAATTTAAAAAAAAAATACTGTGGTATCATAAAGTATAAATTACACCGAGGCATAGAGAAGAATTCACCATGAAAAAGGATTGGTAACAGTCTATGGCACTTTTGGTATATAGCACAGACTTTTTGGTCCATAGCATAGAAGACTTAAGACAAACTTATGATATCTGTAACTATTTATTCATTAAACATTGAAATTGGATTTATTTTTTTCTCCACTAGTGAGTTATTTTCATTGCTATTGATGTGGCATGTCCACAGATCTCTTCTTAAGAACAAAATACTCATTGAAGAAGGAAATGAAACAGGTCAGAGCTCTTTTCAGAGGTGATGATAGGATGTATATGTACATGACATTAACTGAAAACTTTCTTGAAAATGCACTCATGTGCATCAAAACTCTTGACCTCCTATTATAATTGTGATAAAAATACAACAGCATCTTACTCGCTATTACATAGCTCAGGAGCAGCTTAGTGCAACATACAGAGACAGAATTAGAGACTGACGGTACTAAAAATGCATTGCTATAAGCATTTATAGTTACTTTTTATGCAATATATTCTGAATTAATTCAGGCCAAAAAATACCCTTTTTTCCCTTCTCATGAGTATTGGATTTACAGCCCTGAAGCCAACATTAGCTAACAAGGCAGCAGATAGAAATTAGGCAGTACTTGCTTACTCCCACACTACTCTGCTAAATTCCCTCAATTATATAAGAGAAGGTGGATAATTGAGGCCTTCAAACTTGTTACCGCTAATGGCAGCCTTGGTACTACTTGTGGTAACTGTCATCGTGTCCACCAGAAATTCCTGAAAAACGGGTAGGTGAATCTTGGCTTTGCTGAGGCCATGTAGGCTTTGCAAAGAACTTCAACAGAAACAGTGTTACTGCTAGAATGTATGGGAAGTATTTTCACCTTTCCTTTTTGGGGGTGAGGGGGAGGATTAGGCAAAGCTGTCGTACTCATTTTTGTCCTTATTTGCCTCACAGTGTGGTACTCCTTACTAGCATGATAGATTTGAAATTATGAATTCAGTATGTTGACTAGCATTAAGACACAAATAAACTCTTTCGGAAATATACAACAGAATGTAGCATAATCTTGCAAATTAGGCATTTAATGATATAACTTAAGGGGACCTTTAGTTGTGTCCAGGTATCAGAGCTTAAAAGATTTGATTCACATATCAAAGTGTAAAGAGTTGCAATGCAAATGAATGAGCAATATGTTCCCTAACCTTTCTCTGGAGTATTTTCTCTTATATTTTCAATGGGATAGTCATTAAGATTAGCTGGTGGCCATTTTCTTCCTGACATGACAGTTAAACAATGAAGAATCTTGTTGGAATTTTCAGTAAACTTAGAATGCAGTGTAATAGCTACTATTAATCTGGGCTCATAGAAAACAACAATATTTCCACAGCAGTGCCTTGCATAGACTAATAGGACTGTCATTAGGCATTATTGTGATAAAGATTTTTAGTCTATCCTGTAATGCTTTATTAATATAATTTGATGTATTTGTTTTCTCAGCTGTCAAACACTGGAATCTCATTTAGAAGTTAACAGGTTAGGATACATGACAATGTATGCAAGTGGAATAGATGCATATATACTATTTTGAAAGAACACCACTTATGAATTGGAGTAGTCATTAAACAAGAACTCAAGCATTGAGCTTTTCTTCAGTGAAGAAATGAGGAGATTTTATTTATTTGGTATATGTAAAGTTGTCACCAAATTAAGAAGAGGAAAGTCTGTTGATAAGCTGTTTCAATCACATGAAACTTGCATTATGGGATACTTCAAAAATACTTCGAGGTCGGGTCCATGACTGCAAGCAGTTCAACAGCTAAATACTTTCTGAAGAGCAGGGAGGTCAAATTAAGGAAGTCACAACGAACACAAAGAAAACCTATGCCCCCTTGAAAACATGCAATCTCAGAGAGGGACAATTTATCATGTAAATAAAATCAGCCCTTGAAATAGCTATATTTGAAGTCAATGTGCATCTCACACCAATAAGGAACTAAAAGAATATGTACATAGAATTTATGTGCAAATACAATAGCAATAACCAATATGCAGATTTGTAAGCTACCCAGAGCAACACAATTCTTTATTGTTTCAGCAAAAGAAAAATACATAAACCAAGTTATAGCTGTAGTTGGCAATATTAAGTCACATTCTATATCAACTAGCTGATGTACACTTTGTAATAGAAAGGCTGTCCACACTTTGTATTTAGGTAGACATTTTGTACATCAGTAGTGATTACTCAAAAGAGGAGAGTATAACTTAAAAAATAAATTTTAATCATACACAAAAAGACTTTATACAGGCAAACCAAACCAAAAAGCAGCCTAAAAGAATCTTCTTTAGCTTATGTAGAAGCTTACTGCTTGATATTTTTGCGTATAAAGTGCAGCACCATTACACGGGGATAGTTCTAACACGTGAATCTAATGTCTTTTCTTCCTTTCAGGCTCTAGCGTCTCTAACACAAAGATGCAGACTCTTTTTTTTTTTTTTTTTTTTTTTTTAATGTTAAACATAATGAGAACCAATCACCTTGATTTGGCTGATCTGTACGTCCAAAGGAGATGATGATATTCCCAAAGTTTCCAGTTCTTTTTCTTTTTCAGCTATCCAGATGGACAGAGCTTCAAAATTATTGCCAAAAAGATCCCACTTGTTTTTCACCATTTCCATGCTTTTAATACTAAAATTAACCAAATTAATTAGAGAGAATACTTTAATATAATGAAACTACTTATGTTCTTATTAAAATAAAATAAAAAATACAACTTATTCAATCTACAGGAGAGTCATTTTAAAAAATTTTGGGTTTTGAGGACCAAAATGTGTGACCAAAGTTGAACTCACTTCTCTTTTATACTATGTCCACAATTATATTAACCTTAGCGGCAGTACCCAGGAGTGAGAAAGAGTACAGTTTCCTTTATCAGCTGTGCACCAAGAATCTCACAATAGCAGGAACAGAAAGGAAACACAACAAAAGTGCCATTTATATGAAATGAGATGGAATATTAGTAGATCAGATACCTTGAAAAGAGATACCTGAGTATATAGATGATAGTCATTTAGTTAATAGAAGTAACAACAGTGTACTATGGATATACATGTAACCAGCAAAGCTTCACTATTTTATTAAATTTGCTTTTTATAAACAGTGGCAATCTGCTAATCCTACAGGAAGTCTGTGTTCTCTAAGGCAATGATTTCACATCAAGCCATAGAATCAACAACAGATATATCCTAACCAAATCCATATATTTCAATTCTTGGAAACATACATTTTAGCTATGCTAAACAGAAAGAGATGTGACTGATTCTTATACATTCTGGACAGCAAGCAAAGTACTCTTTCTTTGTCACAGATAACAGCTCTATGGCCCTTAAAATATTTATATAAGACCTAACAAAATTAACTTCTGGTATGCAAGTTTCTGTTCCTGTTAAAGTAATGTAAGGAAACCAGTGGTAATGTGAATCTGACATAGAGCTTGTAAAACATTATTTTCTGATTCAATAGTAATAAAATTTTATCTGAAAATTCTGAATATTACAAAATGCCAAAATATATTTTGCTTGTAAATATAGCCTTAAAAATCACTCCATATTATAAAGATTTGTTTTCAATATTGGTGTTCTCTTTTTTCAATAAAGCCAGATAAAGCTTTAAGGAAAAAAAGTCACCTAAAATGTTAAAATTCACCTTCAAAATTTTTTACTTTCAAAAATAAAAATTAGCAATGTCAACAGCTATTCACTAATAAAAGTATATACAAATTTATATCTGGGTTATTGTATTATTTGCAGAAAAACAAAGTGCAAAAAGATTTATCTTAAATCTAGCCAAAGAATAATACAGTTGGAAATCAGAATCACAATCAAGGGTCTAATTCAGAGGCAGAATGATTGAAACCCTCTGTCTTTGTACCTAGCTTCCCTATAGTTGTAAGAATTCTGCAGATTGTGAAGGACCATCTTGCTAAGCAGCTGATTGTAGAGAGCTGCTTACCTTTTTTTCACCCCTTTCTTGTTTGTTGTTTCATTTTATTTACTTGGGAAAAACTTCACTTTACTTGGCCAAGAGTTTTATTAACGATGTGAGTTACAACACAACTCTCATACACTAATCACATTCTCTACAGAGTCACTATAGATATTGTATGTCTTGCAGAAGAGATTTCTGATTTTTTTTAATTATCTCTTGCACTGCAATAACATACCACAACCACCTCCACATCTAGGTGGCAAGGGGATAGCAACAAAGACTTTTATTTAAAAATAGATGCCACATTTTTGAAAAAAATGGATGACGGAAGGATGAATCTCTTGAATCAAAAAATTATTCTGTTTTACTTAGGAATATAGGGGAAAAATAATGTATAAAGGAAAACAGCATGTAAGGTATGATCGAATTTGATTACAAATCAACAGTAGTTCATATTTTAGGAAGCAAAATAAATAGATCACCAAGCACAAATAAGGTATAGCTGCTACAGAAGCTAGTTATTGTCCATCTTAAAATTGTTATTTTCCTCAGGGAGAAAAAGGCAGCAGATTAAAGTGAGGGTAGTCTGACAGTGGTGGGTAGGGAATAAAATCAATAATGCTACCATTGCCTTTGACTAGCATTTATATGGAGATTGTGAATTGTACTAAGTCTTGTAAAGGCAAATTCATCTAAATAGTTACTCCACTGTGAAAACATAGAAGTGGTATATATCTCCGTGACTTGTGAATCAAATCTAATATATTCAAAAACACTACTTTTACCCATATATCTATATACACACACCCATATACCCATATAAGTGTGTGTGCATATATAATATAGATATATATTTATGTGTGTGTGTATACATGCGCACACACAAACACACATTTATATATATATATACACACAAAATAATAATGACAGCTTAAGCTCTCAATTGTGAAAAGGGATGAAATTTTTAAACACTGAAAGTTAAAAATATTTAAAGGATTTTGCAACATTTTCTTGGAGTTTGGAAAACTTTCCATTTTAAAATGAAATTTAGCAAATGATGCCTTATTTGCAGCAGCAGAAAAGTTTTTGATATTGCCGATGAAATAAAATTTGGGCATTCAGCTAAGATAAAGGCACTTTTTGACATTCCTATGAAGAAAGCGAAAAACTGTAAAAGCTGAGGCAGTAAGTGTTCTGTTTTCACATTTTCACTGCCTTTTCTTTTTTTCCTTTCTGTAAGACGAGTACTTCAAGTATAATCCTAATTATCATCCTTTGTTCACAAGCTTTCAGCTGGGCCTTAAAGATAGAACTCTGATAGGTTAACTGCAACTACATTTTTTTTTTTTAAATAAGTATCAGCAAACAAAAGATTTTGCTTATTTGCACATACTACCCATCTCGCATATCTTATGTTATAATCTGGGTTATTAAGCCACAGCAAGCTGAAAGTGACAGAGCTGACGAGACAACACAAAATGTTGACGGGTTTCTAGGCATCTAATACATTCTTATAGTGGGCAGGAAATACTACAACTTGTTAGGAACATACTCTTCTTCAAGACTAACTTCCACTTTTTTCACTTGTTCTTGGATTATTTTTGCCTGTCGCTGGAGGGACTTCTTGTTCCTTGAACCAAGCTGTATCTCAGAAGAATTCTTCACCAAATTCTCAGCCTGCATTGCCATGGCTTCAGTCTGTTTAGACAGCTCCTGTATGGATGAATAATATTAATGTAAGTGTGCACATTTTCATATAACAGAGAAGGATGTAATTTATTCACCTGTAAAATATTTTTTCTTGGTGCTTCTGGTGAAAGAAAGTATTGCATATATGTACAACTTGAATGTATAAATACACAGAAGCAAATTCAGAAGAAAGATGTCTTCAAATCCCAGCTAAGAAATACTCATTGGAGTAAACTAGCACAAAGAGAACTGAAGCTATTTGTCTAAAAGATTTTAATTCTCCCTTTGCAGTTTTTTTCCGGCAACTCTTTGACATAAATCTACCAGTGAATTGTATATAATTAAATGTTTGTGGTAATCATATGTATTTAGTTTATAGATATAATCTTTTACATGAAAGATTTATAGAACCCTTTACGTGTGTAGCATCACATGGCTTGAAATCTCACTTCACTTAGCAACCGTTATATCACATTATATGCACATGCAACATGACAATGGATGCTGAGAACAACCAAGATAGATACCATTTACCAGATTCATCAAGGGTTAAGGAAAACCAATCACTTTTACTACTTCAATATTAGTAAACAAAGTCAACTGGGGCCATTCTCTGGTATTAAGAGCAAGTGAAATGAATAGTGTTCATACAGCAGAAGTATGAACATTCCTTCTGCTCCTAAGGGCTAAGAGAGCACTAGTTAGCAAAGGCCATGATAAAAAGCATACAACAGATGATGACAGGACGGTGCTTGAGACCATCTAGTTTACCAATACAGACATGATCTTGCTGACCATAAAATGGGAAGAATCACTTCATCCTCTTGAATACAAATGATTCAGAGGTAGGTTTGGATAAGTCTTCACGATCTTTTAACAAAATAACATTTTACCTCCAAACAGTCTACACAGGCTCCACTCTGATAAAGACTTACATAATTTGCAATGGCCTAACAGAGAAACCATGCAAAGACTAATGGTAGTGTGCTTGCTACACGTTAACATGCAAGGCACAGTGATAGCCACTGTACTTCACACAGTGAATACCTTTGTCTGATCCAGTTCGGTGGTGAGGCTTTCTAAACTGCTAAAGTTTAAGATACGTTCAAGTGCAGAGCTCGCTTGATTAAGATACTTTACTACTGTTTCTTTGTCCCTTTCAAACTGTTCCCATTTATTTATTGTGACCTGCAAAAAAAAAAACAAAAACAAAGACAAGAACAAACGGGTGGTGGGGAGCACAGAATTTCATTTTGAGTTACTAAGAAAGTAAAAAAGGAAGAATGTAAATTATAAAATACAGAATTTTCTCCTGAAATCCAGGCTACCCTACGCAGGAAATTGTAATAAATTCAATAAAAGAGAAGTTTTTTGAGTTTTCAATCTGATTGGCACTGTGTTACATAGAACAGCATGGTGGTTCTCACAGGTGCAGGTAATATTTACATCTCAGCTTGGTACAGAGTATGAAAAGTATGAAGTAATGACTACAAATGATTATACTTATGGCTACTGATACTCAGCTATTCCTTAAAAGGTTTTCAAGGTCTTTAAGTAAAAGACAGTAAAATGGTAGGAAAAATGATAAAAATAAGAATCTACTTGTTCTTTCTGACAATGAAGAATTTGGATAAATATATATTTAGTTATTACCAGTAATGAGAATTTTGTTGGAATTTTGATTCTGAAGTAAAGCAAGGCGCAAGTTAAAACTTCATGTAACATTTCTTTCTTTGAAAAAAATATTTCTATCAAGAAACTCTTACAGTAAAAAGTCATTTGATTGCTTGTTTTTCATTTATTTGGGAAGTAATTTTTATAATTTTAAATATTCAAAGTGGTGGACATGTCCAATAGCTGGATTGCCATTCTTAGAGAAATGTAAGGAAGAACTTAGGTTTAGATCTAAGTAGTTATAAATTATAATGCCAGTTCAGACAGTAATTTATTATAAAACCTGGGGCATGTAATTTCTCTATGTCTTCTTTCTTCCTATTCTAAATTTTAAGATGAGAGGGAGTATTTCACACAGTCCTTGTGAGGATAATATTTGCACTGTATCAAGTGTTTTATATCCAGCCCAAAAACTCTCACTAAAGGATAATGCCACGTCTAGAACAGTCCCTCTGTCCCTCTACTGTCCCTCTAAAATTTAATTCACAGATGCCTTGCATGCAAAGTTACACCATGGGTTCTTTATTAATTCAAACGGTATCTAGCAAATTCAATAAGTTTTGATGGAGATACTGATAACGGAAAATCCCAAATAATATATTTCAGAGGGGAAAAAGTGAGCTCCAAATTTTTGTGGCAACTTTTTTCTCTATTTAAAAAATAAAAAAAGGAAAAAAGAAAGGTTAAAGCATAATTTTTATTCCTACATGCAAATAACCCACCTGTAACTGTTCTTCTCGTTTCTCCATTGTCTGCTCCATGTTCTCCAATGTTCCTTCCAACTTTTGTAAATCTTCCTGCATCGTGCTCGGCAGTCCACCTTCAATCTGCAATTGTTTAGCTTGCGAAATCTGCTGTTGCACATCTTCCCTCTTTGCACGGATTCTCTTTGCCCTTTGCTACAGGGATTCATTCAACAGGAATGATATATAGTTACTACTTCTTTTTAGATTATTCGGGAAACTGGCACACAAGAACATCTTTCTGCATTTGTAGGAGTAGGCAAAGATGGTAACAAATAAAGAGATAAACTCTAGGAAGCATTTAGGCAAATCTCATAAATTTATAGAACAGATTACAGGCAATTCAGAGGTTGCATGTACCCACAATGGCTATGGCACACAAATGGCATGGAAAAGGCAAAAAAGCCATTCATTCATAGCAATGTTTTAGAAAACAGAACTACAACAACTGAGCAATTGAAAAAGCAAATCACAAGTGCATGAGCTCCTCACAAGCACCACAGTCAGCTCGGCGCTCTTTGAGGCACAGACTGGAACTTCGGATTGATCAAAAAACATGCATTCACTAGCAAGAGACAGACATCCAAATTACATAACTGTTCCCTCAATACACTTTGGCTTGTAACACTACCAGAAACTTCTGAGACTATATCCCCTGTCCTTTCCTCACATGCCTGACTCATTGCTTGTTTTGCCAGGTGAACTTCTTTCATAAATTTTTGTTTTCACCATACCAGCCTATACCAAAAGAAGAGTCTGAACTTAGGGATAAATCAGCTAATCCTTCTATCTCTCCTTTGAATGATAAGGATTGCAGAGTTTTAAAAATAAATTTTAAAAATACATGTAATAGTTTTCAAAAACACAAAACAGGACAAAAAAAATAAGTAGGACATAGTAGGACAGTAAGACATGTTTTGCCTCACAGAAATACAGAATAATACCAAACATTCACATAATGCCCAAACATTGACAGTAAATTATTCTTCCTCAGCAGGCCTTGAAGTTACTCTCATATATTTCAGTATAGAGCTCAAGGCACTTTTAGTATGCAATGCATATGATTTACCATTATTGTAATCCATAGAAGTTTTGATCCATCATTCTTGCATAACTAGACAATGCTTGCAAAATTATAATTTTAGCCATTAGTTGGAATGTTGCAAGTGACTGATTCCGATTAGGTACATACAAATAAATGTATTTATACACATTTAACAATGGTTAAAAACACAGAATTAAAATATTATCTCAGACTTATCTCTGGACTGCATTTTTTTTTTTGTTAAACTAGGAATTACTGTTAGAACATTGACTAAATGCCATTTGCATTAATGATCCTTGCAAGCTTAAATATACAAAACTCTTCCTATTGGGAATAATTTAAGTTACAAAATAAAATTTGTACCCTATTGTGTACATATTCAAAAAAAAAGACAAATGCGGACATGATTGCCCTACCTGATGATGAAGTAGTAGTTGCTGAGCTTGTAATAAGCTTTCTGTATCCAAGATCTTTTCAGCCTCTGCTTGGGCTTCTTTAGAGTTGGTGATTAACTCTTCGATAGCACTCTTAACTTCTTCTTTGTATTGGACACAGTCTCCAACAGTGCTTAACATCTTTTCAATCTATAATTATGGATAAGTGTAAGCATATCTTGTCAAAGGGCACATACTTTATAACAACACAGTAAATTGTCTAAATTCAAACCATTTATATCTTCAGCATTCTTAGCATATGCCTAATATTATGTTGGGAGAATGACTTTAAATTATAAAACCTATAGTGGAGACCTCCTCGACCCATTTAGACATATTCCTCATTACATTGCAATATGGTAAATGGCTATTAGAACACAAATTTCCACAACTTTTCAGTTCAGAGAATTTTCAAAGAATTTCATGGAGAGAGGACCTTCTCTGCATTTGGAACAACTACAGTTACAACTCAATGTCTCCAAAGGAATCAGCATTAGCAATGGAACTTAAAATCTCAATTCTCATTTTTTTTTTCCAAAGAGTTCTGTGCAGTCTTTTAAGTGTAAGATGTTCTATGCTTTTTTATGATCTTTCCTTTTCACTGTGAAAACTGTCAAGGAATAAACTCCCAGATCTTGATGGTTCAGGGGATTCTACTTCTTATCAGTTAGAAATTCCCCATGATTTCATCATTTCCAGCATCTGATTACCATTCTGAATCTCAGACAATCACAGACTTTCCCTGAAAATCTAAGGCATGCTGCACAGCCTTAACTTGGAGAAACATTGTTTCTGTCATCCTGGGGCTTGCAAAACTCAATCTTCATACCTAAAACTTCAAAGTAGTTCCTTTATTATTTCAGTTCAAAAGATACATAGATCAAATTATAGCTTTAGCTGGCAAAAATAATATCATGTTCTATATGCACTAAAATATACCACAATTTTGCTAATGTACACTAATAGGTGATTTTTAAAAACTCATGTTACCATTTGCCTCAAAATATAGAGATTTTGATTCCAGAAAAATTTATGCATTCCTATTCTTCAAAGATCCATTATCGGAAATCAGTACTTCTATCCAGTAGTCTTAAGGCTTTTCTGTCCATCGAATATGGAATTTTTTTGTTGATTGCAGTTTAATCAAAACACACAGCAGGGAACTTAAGCTTGTGAAACCATGACTGATGTCATTTCATATGACACTGTAAACGGAGAATTCTTCCTGTCCCCCATACTGTACCTCCGCCAGTGAATCTAGGAGTCCCTTGAAGTCACTGGAAAGCTTACAAAGCTCATCATCTGTGTTTTTGGCCTCCAAATCAGGGCATACTGCAGTCAGAACAGCAAGTCTAGATTTCAGCCAGCTGAGATTTTCTCCTTGCTTGTTAATATGTTGCCTAATTTCCTACAGAAGTATCAACAAAAAAAAAAGTATTTTCTCAAATTAAAGTATAATCAATGAGTAGCTTTCATGGCATCAGTTCCAAGACTGATAAAGAAATACTGTATTTCTAGTATTTCAAGATAATACAAAAGGAAAATTATTTAAACTATTTGCAGCCTCATTTAATTCCATTCCAATTAAGGGACAGATTTTTGCACTCAACTGTACAGATATTATATGACTATCCAGATATTATATGGCTAATCCTTGGTAGAGGATTTTTTTTCTGACAAACTTTAATACTTACCAATAAATATAAATATGTAAAGTATATACTATCTATACATTTCAACTTCAGAAAATTCTTACTTATAAACGTAATTTGTTTACATCTCAAATGCTACCTTTCCTGAGCATAGACTTTCATGTGGTGTAAGGTCTCATAAACTTCTTGATATTTTAAATAGCTATTTTTCTTCCCTTTTTCACCTAACAACTGTTATATCTTTGAGCCAGCGTGGGTGAGAAGCTACCAGCAGGGAAACTAAATGAGCTTTTGGAGTAGAACTCCCTTTATGGATGGTCTTACTTGTTTTTATCAAAGTCATCCTAATTACATTTCTCTGCACAGTTAGCAGTCACAACCTGCTAATGACTTTCATACAAAATCCCACACTATGTTACTCTTTTTTAAACGCACAAGAAGCAAAAATTCGTAGGTTCCAAGAGACAATAAATTATTGAATGAAACTAATTTAACTGAAGGACTGACAGAATGACTATGATTTAGTCTAGAGACATAATCGCTCTCTACAACTACCTGAAAGGAGGCTGCAGTGAGGCAGGAGTTGGTCTCTTCTCCAAAATAACTACCAATAGGACAAGAGGAAATGGATTCAAGATGCACCAGGGGAGGTTCAGGTTAGATATTCGGAAAAAATCTTACATTGAAAGGTTGTTGAAGCATTGGAATAGGCTGCCCAGGGAAGTGGTGAAGTCACTGTCCCTGGCAGCATTCAAGGGATGCGCAGATGAGGCACTTAGGGACATCTTTTAGTTGGGATATTTTTGAACTGTTATTGGTCCAGTTATGGTTGGAGTTGATGATCTTGAAGGCCTTTTCCAACCCTAATGATTCTATGAATATTCAACTATTCTTTCATCCCTATCACTCAACATTGCAAAAGTGAATTGTGGATTTATCTTCATCTTCCCTATCATAAAAGAAAAGTGTTATTGCAGAAGATTTTCTTTCATGCAAGGATATAGTAGCTTGACCCTTCAAAAACATCTCATCCTTATGTTATCTCATTTCCTCACATAACTCTAACAGTGCATGCAACAGAATTAGAGGCAAATCTTCAATCTTGCTACTTCTGTACTATTATGTTCTGAATACACTGGTAAAGAGGCCTGGCATTCTCTAAATCATTAAAAGCAGGAGATTCTGCCACATATTGCTACATGAACAACTCTCTTTTAAAAATACATAAGAATAACAAGAATCAGCAGAGCTTTATCTGCATAAAACAGTTTATACTCTAAAATAGTTGCAATTACGTCCAGGGTGCAAGCAGCAATGACTACAGTTTGCTGCTAGGCCAGGATCTTACCGCCACAGCTGCTTTAAGTTGCTTGTATCTCGTAGTATCATTGACACTTTGCTTTATCTTCTTTATCTCTCTTTCTGCTGACAAAATCCAATTAGCCAATTCAGAAAATCTGAAATAAAATATCACATAATGCAAAACAAAGAAAAATGTGCCAAACTGTAACCTTTTAAATTTAACCTTTTAAATTTAAGCTAACAACAAAACTCCCAGCAGGTGACTGTAATTTGTGGAATTACTATATAAAGTACAGCTTTTTACCAGAAATTATCAACAGAGTACTTATCATTCTGTATGGGGTTTTGATCTGTAATGTTATTCAGAAGAATGGACATGCGTAACTTGCTTTAGGCAATGTTCTAGCAGACCCTGCTAGCAATTGAACTGAGACCTGTTTTTATAGCCCTTCCACTTCTCAGAGCACTCCGTTAACTTCACATATGTGCTATCAATCTGAGATTTAAGCTCCTTCAGAATTCTTTGGCTGCTTTCCAACGTGGCCCTCGCTGGATCAGAAACTGGCAGTTTTTGACACAACTCTTCTATTCGCTGTAGCCTCTTCTCACACAGGTGGTAGGATCCCTTGTCACCGAAGAATAACTGTTAGAAGACAAAACAAAAAATAAAAACAAAACAAACAAAAAACCCCCAATTTTATAAATAGATATCACTGTGTGTGTGCATGTATGTGTATATATAAATATATACACTGTATGCAAGTACACACACACACACATTATAAACTGTACTAAGCAGGTCATGCATATCAGCATGAGGAGATTAAATTCAAATTAAAATCTTTCTTAAAGGCTTAAAATTTGATCTTATTTAGTTGTGCATGTAGTGTTTGGTGGATTAAATCAGTTTTTAAAACTGATAATCAGTTTAAAACAGTTTTGTTTCTCTTTCATTGAGTTTACATGCAAATGTATCAACACAAATGTCCACTTGGTGGCCTATGATTCATACCTTGTGCTCCTCGATCATCTTTTCATTGCCTTCCCTGGATAACACCTTGTTCTGTCGAGCTAGTTCTGCTTTACACTCCTCAACTGTGACCAGGAGTTTGCTTTTCTGCACTTCTATTTTCAAATGGATCAAATGATACGGGGCTTCTGTCTGCAGATCCTACATGTCCCATAGAGGCAATAAAAAAGTCGAAGATAAAACACACTACCCATTACCTCAGTGTGAAGTTACTACAGGTAAATTAGATAGGAAGCACTAATACAGAAAGCCAACCTCACATGTGCATGAAAAGACAGGGCATTCTCAGCACTCCTTTAAGGAAATAAAGTAGTGCTGTTAACTGTACCTGCTAGACTTATCTTTACATTTAGGACAAATATTTGGTAACTTTTGATCCAACTTTGTTCAGTTGTTAGAGTGAGTCCTTAGCATCTTCAAGATGTTATTTTACCTATAGACATACCTAATGTTGTAAAATTTCCTTATATATATATGTTTTAAATTGTGGAAGAGAAGGACAGAAAAACAAAAGGAGACAGGAACAAGTTACTAGTTCAGGGAGGAGTAGGGAAGGTGGAAGGTATAGTCAAAACATAGGTAAACATGTTTCTGAGTTAAGGCTTGGTACTTCCACAGATGTCACTAACCTTCCACTGCCTGTGGAGTTTCCTCACAGCTTCCTGCAGACTGTGTTGCTCTTGCTCAGGAAGGATGTCAGTGAGTTCATCACAAGCTTTCAGGAAGGCATTTAGGACTCTCTGGTCCAACTGGTTAAAGAAATCCTGAGATTGAAGCAAAGTGAGGGTGAAATTGGTTACTTACTCGCATAACTTACTAGCATGAAGTTCCCTAAAACTGCCTAAAGTTTCAAGGTTACTTCTGCTGCACTTGTGGAAGCTGCAGTTGAGTTAAAGGAACATTTCTAGCTATTTATAGTCCAGAGAATTAATGTATTCTCATATATTGACTGACTGTCCAAGAAGGTGGTATAACAGGAAAATGTTTCAAGGTCACATGCTTAACAATACAATCATGAATTTTCAATTATCTAGAAACACAGCCATGGATGCATGAGCCCAGTCATAACATAGATTGGTGTCGTTGCTTCAAAGGTTTTATTGGTAAAATTGACCTGAATCCCTAGGGCTCTTCATTCTGTACTTTCTGGATGCCTATTGATCAATAAAAAAGGCGATTTGGGTCTGGGAGGCTTTTCTTCCTACCCTTTTTCCAACCTTAGCATTAGTTTGACCTGATCAATTTTTTTTTTATTATTATATAAAGTAAATGCATGACAATTGAAAAACTAAACAAGCTTTTTACTCGAAAAATAATAGCCATGCACTCAAAGTTTCCACGAGGAAGATCAGAGAATTTACTCACACTGTGTTTCCTGAGAAGTTCTTCAGGATTTCCTTTTTCTCTTAAGCAACAGTGGGCAATCTGCATTACTTTTTCCAGTTCTGCTCTGGATTCCTCAAATTTCTTCATCAAACGGCTATTTGCTTCTATATTTTTTCTCCAGTCACCAGCTTTCCTGACCATATTCTGAGGTATAAGCAGAGGAAAATGAGCTGTCACTTTCTCATTGATTTTTATTTGATGTCTTTTGCCATAATCTTACATTAAAATGCATTTGATTGGCATGGCTCTTCCAAACATATGCAGCTTAGAACTGCTTGTCTTCTCCCTTTCATGTTCCCTGTTTCCCAATTTTTAATATCCTGCAAAGGCTCATGGTAATGTCATAATCCACACAGTATCTAGCTACTACTGTATCTTCCCCATAAGTATAGCTATCAGTTAAATAAATCATTTCTAAATGATAAATAATAATAATAAATTACTCCCAAGAGTATATCTTTCAGTATAACTCAAAAATTAAAACATGAATTTTGAAACTTCATGATGTCTCTCAGGAATAGCTCTTTACTTTTTTGTGTGTTTTAAAAATCATTGTTGACTTTATGCTGCACAATAATAGTCTAAGAATGCATGCATGTGAACACAGAATTTGGAAATTTGAACCCAGACAGTAGTGGTTAATTTCATGATAGACTTTAGCTTGAATTATATCCACATTTAAGGGATAAGGCATATTAGCCTTTACAAAAGTCTCTCTTTTTTTTATGCTTTGTGTGAAAGATGATGCATGGCAAATGGTAGTAAACAAATGGCGAGGAAAAGGAAGTCAGAAGTGGAGCTTAAAAAAAATAAATAAATAGACCTAATACTTGGGTCTTAGGTCCCTCCCTCAAAAGGACCATGATGTGTGGAAGTCCTCCTCCAACACTGTGCTTCCTGAGAGGCCTGAGGCATGGAGGATATTAACTTCTCTAACCATTTGCTATGGACAAGTCCTTCAAAAACAAGTTGACATTAGGGAGGACAACAATTAAGCAGGGATACAGCCACACAATTTAGATGTCTATGGACAAGATTTCAAAAATATGTACCAAGATACGACAATTACCTGAAAAGTAATCTGAACTTGTGTAACTTTCTTCTGAAATGTCAGTTGATGAAAATGCCGCAATACTTCACTTGAAGCCACACACTGCAGAACACTCTGACTATTTCTCTCAATCAAGGACAAAGCTTTCTTGCAGTTTTCTTGAAAAGCTACCAAATCCTGAAATAAAGAAACATACATGCACTCTGGCCAGGAACAAAGGAGAGAAAAGTTTGGCAAAATAAGAGGAAAATATTTTGGCCATTAAGGCAAAAATGACATAGTCAAATTGCCATGAAAAATAGACTGCACAAAATACAGGAGGGAATAACAAAGATCTTTAGATAGCTTTATTTCACTAGTTTTTAAAAGTACGTTCTCCCAGTAGGTTCCAAGTCTCATCATGATGATCTTTTTCTGGAGAAGTAAAATATTAAAGCTCCAGTACAATGCACCGATGCTGAACGTTGCTTTTTTGGGGGGAGTTGTTTGTTTTAAATGAGCTACTGCCAGCCTTTTCAGAAGCCATCTTGCAATGTTCTTCTGAAGAACTTACTTGGGCTTTTTGTTTAAGAACAGCTGTAGGTTGTGTTTCAGGATCCAGGATAGAAATTATCTCATTCACTTTTTCAAGAGATTCATAAAACTGTGTGATTTGTTTCTCCTGTTCTTCCAGAGGAGGCAGCAGATGCTGGCATTCATACAGCAGGGCACCACAATACTCCTTAAGCTTTTGGCCATTTGAAAGAAAAACAATTATTTGAAAGTCGTAAAATGCAATAAACAGTAGGTTTCTCCAAATAAGGTTTTACATACTTTCTGCCTGTCTCAAGATATATCAAATCTAGTCCTATAATATTTCTCAAGAAAAGAATATTGAATTTAAGCATGATAACATCTAAAAGCAGCAACACTTTCCTCATCTTAAATTCTATCACAATTACTATAACCATATATTTGCTAAAATGAGTATATATAATGCAGAAGCTTACTAAATAAGCCTGCCTTATTACAGCTAACTCAGGCAAAGGTACTATTTTATTAAGCTCTTTTTCGATCTTATAAGGTATGCATATATACAAGTTTCAAGCTAAATTCCAACTTTATTTAGCAGTTAAACAGTCAACAGAGATGAGTAGGAGAAAAGTTATTCTGCAACCTTGCTCAGCTGCTCTTTGATCCTTGTCAAAGTTGCAAGCATTTCATTTACTTCTTCTTGGGAAACTTCCTTTGTAACAAGCTGTGCTGTCCTTGTAACCATTTTGTACTGAGCTTCCATCACAGGCAATTTCTGTTTAATGTTCTGAAACAAATATTTTAAGCAAATATTTCAACAGCATTTTGAATTTGTGGGAGTCTGTTCTAAAGATATATAACAATCTTCATTTTTTCTCCATCACTGACTTTAGTGAAGACTGGACTAGGTTCCAAAAGCATTTTACATTTGCTAAATAAATATATATCATCCCATTCAGACATATTTATGCATATGCATTTTGTGTCACAGTTACTTTAACCTAATGTGATCTGAAGCTACAGAAAAAAAGAAATATACAGTGGGACACTTTTTTGGAAATGTGCTCTAGAAATATCATTCACAGAATGCAGTAATTCACATTAGCTAAAGCAGGAACTATATATAAAATGTATAAAAATAACAATAATGGAAACATATTCAAAATTATATTTTCTGCCCTGAAAATTAAACAGTAAAATATTTCTTTCTTATGAAGGGAAAAGAAAGAAATGGAAGAAAAAAAAAAAAAAAAGACGATGACTTACTTCTAAATCTTGTACAAACACCTTAACATCTATAAAGGACACTTCTACAGGCACTGAACATTTTCTATTGCTTTCTTCAACAAAAGCTGTCAAATTGGCAACACCATCCAGGTATTCCTTCCTCATTTTGTCCAGTTCATCTGCCCGAGCATACTAAGAAAATGTAAAAACAAAATCAAACAAACAAGCAAACAAAAACAAACACCAAAATGAGAAATGTGACAATTACTTAATTACTTAAGGCAATTAATGTATCATCAGAACAAATGCTTGTGAGAAAAATCATAATAAATAAAATACAAGATAAACTAAAGGTCTGCATTATTTTTAATCATACTGATATTGAAAAAAAACACCCCCTACACTTCACTCACAGAACAAATTTTAAACATTTTTTAAGATCTGGACGGTTCTTGGAATCCCAGCTTTCATTTGTTTCTAACCTGGAATCAACATACCAGTTCATTTCTAATCACTTAGAGTATCAATTTTGAAAATACATTGAAGAGAATAGAATATGAAAGCCCAGAAAAGCCAAAAGATATGTCAGAAAAAGAATTATTGGCTGGGAAGAGGGAGAACACAGGATTATTAAGAAGGAAGACAGGAGCTGTATGAGGAAATGACAAAAGGCCATTGAGAAAAACTGCAAAATAGGGCATTTGCATTCTGGGCATTACAGGTTTTATAGGTGAATCATTCTAAATAACATGAGCAAATAAAGCTTCAGAATATTCTAAAAAATAATTTACAAAAGTTAAAATAAAATTAATAACAACAAGAACAAAAAATAAAAAACACAATCATTGTTTGGTTTTCTATGCAACTTCTTGATTATGACTGAAATAAGCATGCCGGTAAAGAAAAAGGGTTCAGCACCTTCAAACACATGACTGCTGTTTTAAAACCATTAACAAGAGAAAATACCATTAGATATACAATGACTCCGGCAAATATATTTTCTTATATGTTTATGAGAAATTAAATACTTTTGCCTAGTTTTATTTTATATCCACTCTTGACTTCCAAAGGAGCATATAAAACCATTTTTTTTCTAATCAGTTGAACTCCTAAAGGTAAAGAAGTAAAAGTAACATCAGACTTTTTAATTAACTATCTCTGTACATGCTGTTTCAGTACAGTTACCGAGTGTAACATTCATTAAAGAGCATTAGGGTATATTCACTTTCACCACTTAGCTTTATGGAGCTTATGCTAAAAATAGCTATTTAAAATAATTACGTTTAAAAAGATCATTAAGGACATGCATTAGCAATATTCTCTGGCTTAAGATAGGCAGCTGTAAAGGATGACTGGTTACACTAGTGAAAATGTGGGGAAAAAAATGCAAATAATCAAAAGGTTAAAAAAAAGGCAAGAGTCACTAATAATAACAGACTACTGTCAATGACTGATATCTATTACAAAGTTATGAACAGTTAGGTACCTTAGCTGCCCCCTAATCCTGTTTGCAGGACAAATCTTACGTGGTCTTGCTTGCACAGAAATGGTAAGCTATTTAAAAGTGTAAAAGCTAAGACACATACTTGCTTAACTTCCATAAACAATTCTCTCCATCTTCCGTTTAGTAACAGAAGTTGCTGCTTAAGGTCTCTTGAAATGGTCTCATCACACGTTTCAATGAGGAAATTACCAGCATCGTTCATAGCTGTATGCTGTTGGATCCAGTGAGGTAAATGCCGAAAGAAATCCTGAAAAACAAAATGACACCACTTTTCCTAAGCCTTGGCAAGAAGTAGTTAGCTGATATCACGACACTAAAATTTAGTTGCCGGCTAATAAAAGCTTGATAAAATTCTTTAAATAGTTATTCTCAAACTTCATATTGGGTATATTGTGTATATCAGAACAGATTTTTCAAGTCTGTGACATAACCTACTGAATTAAAAACTGTTATCGTTTTACTCACAGCTCATTTTTACACCAGTGAGTAGCTTCAGTTAAATTAACGGAACTCTCTCTGAAGAGAAAGGATTTGATCCATAATTGGAAACACTGTTGGGGTTCCTTTAATTTGTCTTGTACTGACTTAGCATGGGTTGGCAGCAACTTGAACACAAACACTCTTAGAGATCTTTCCCCTTGCGTGAGCAATGGGAAGCTGAGTCAGGTCTGGTGCCCCAGGAGACCTGAGCAGACTGGTGTTACACCACTGCTGCTCCTATCTTGGAGCAGTTGAGTGAAGGCTCCGGCTGTCATGGATTGTCTCCCTGTTGTCACCCTGTTCTGGTGAGCCAACCTAAAACACCAAGTCACTGTGAAATGCACGTGCCTGTGTAGGAAGGTTCGCACACATAAACTGATAGACAAGACTAACTGCCCCCTCTCCCACCTTCATTCTTCCTATTTGCTTGGCAAGCATCCAGGAAATGGCTTCTAAGAAATTGCATTTCAGGAATAGTAATGTTTTCATGTCTAAGGATTTTTTGCAAACTATTTAAAAATGTTCAGACACCAGAAAAATTTTAAGTGGTCAAATGCACTTTTAGATTTAGGCTAGACATCAGAAGAAAATATATAGTGTAAGGACATGTATAGGTATCTGCTTCAAAAACCTAGGTGAAGATAAAGATACAAAAATGATCAGAGAGCTAAGTGTTTTTTTACTTAATTCATACACAAAGATATGAGATTATTTCATTATCAAGCTTATCAGATGAGTCATCCATCTTCCTCACTAATAGAAACTTCTGATATTTAAAATATTCTATACTATCGAATCCTTTTTATATCTTGATTTTTACTTTAAAAGGGTATTTTTTGCATCAACTCTCCTCCCCCCAAATAATTCTGCTTTATGTAACAAAAATGTTCTTTCTTGAGCTGATATCCATTTGACATCCTGCTGACCTATGAAAATCAGAAATGAAAATTTTCTACTGTTAACCAGTGGCAGCTAGCATATTGCATCATCACTCAGGTCAGGTACTTCATTACTGAAGTTTCACAAATGAGAGTCTTACTGCTTCAGTACTCTAACATTAGAACATAATGCAACAGCAAAATGATTTTTTATGACTGCAGGTCTTCAAAAATTCTCTGAAACATTTCTAAAACAACAGAGGAACTCACAGGTTAATTATTCGTCCATCGAACATAACTCTACACATATGGACAACGTTGTCTTGTGAAAACAATTTATACTGAAAGCTGTATGTGAGAAATGGAAAAATATTCTGAGTACTGAGACAAGGATTCATGGATATCCAGTCAATGGATAAATGCTCAAAAATCTCACCGCGAGCATTCACTCTCTCCTATGACATTTTGCAGAACAAAGCAAAACTCCAAACACATCTTATATTTCATAATTCACAAAATGTCAGAAATAGACACTATTATTCCATACCTTTTTTGATTGTTCAGGCTGATTCAGCATTTTTTCAGCATCCTCCAGCCAGGCCTGCAAACCTGCAACAGTGCTGCTGTATCTGTCCCAATTTGCAATGACCTCTTCCAACATGCTTCTTACGCTTCTCACCTCTACCGAGAGGTTCCTCCATTGCACTGATGTTTCATTCATGAATTTCATCACATTTTCAACTTCTTCCACTGAGATACAAATGATATATTTGATTGTTTACAACTTTTTTTTTTTTTTTTTTGGATAAAGCTTCATTTTATGCTATGCTTACCCATTCCCATCAGGGAATTACAATTTACTAAAACATCTATTTCTGTACGTGTTCATACACATATGTTCAGCTCACAGCCTGACTGTAGCACGAAATTATTACTGAGAAATTAGACCTGTTTTCTAAACACTAAGGAGTGTTTAGAACTTCAACCATTCTGTGGTTGAACAAAGTGAATGAAAGTACATAAAAATGCAACATTAACACAGTCACACTTCATATTACATTGATTTTAAAACCTATCTGTAAGGAAGGCAAGCTGTTCTGCACCAGCTAATCTCATGCTAGACATAACGAAAAACTACTATCAAAGGGGTCCTCTTTCTTGTGGATTACTGCTGCTTTTGAGCTGTACTGTGGGGATGAAACAGATTAGAAGATCATTTTAGGGAATGTTTATATCTAAAGATATCAAAATCGTGTCTTCTTGACAATAGACACACAGGTATTTACCTGAGCCATTTGCTTTGGCATACATTTCAGCTGCTTTCTTCAAGATTTGATACGTAACTTCATATTGCTCAAAGAATTTACTATTTTCAATAACAGACTGAAAAGAAAAATAAGGCAGAAAATAATATATCAATAATTTCACTAAAACTAAATTATGACAGTTATGACATTCTTCACCAATTGCTCCATTCATTTATAATACAATATTTCATCATTTCAAATTAATGGCAGAGCACAGTCTTCACTCACAAACTCTGTTTATTTTTCCTTTGCATAGCAAAAGAATATTTAACTTCCTCTGAGGGAGTCTGCTAGATGCTTGGTCTTGCTAGAATTCATAGCACATAACTGGAATGTAATGTGCATAAACCAAACAATTAATGTAAAGGTTATTTAATGGAAACTATTCCTGCCCTGAAAAAAAAAAGGTATCATTTTAATAAGAAGAAATTTTCATCTCTGTAGAGCATCACCACAAAATTCAAATCCACTTAAGTTTTAAAAATGGTTCTTTTGTAAAGATTTCAGATTATGAGTCCTTCAGTTTCCTTTTTTTTTTGAAAATGGTGAAAATAACATTAAGGAAACACTGCACAAAGAGATGCTGCTTTTCCAAAGTGCGACAGGGTTTTTCCTTCGGAAGGGATATTTTAGCTATGTAATGTGTTTCAGTATGATGAATAACATATATAGAAATATTTCATCACAAAATTATACCATTTAATCTACCAAACGGCACTGACTACTCTTGATTTTATGCCCTTTCAGGAATGTTAATTACATTAATATTACATCTGTATTATGCAAGGATATTATTACAAGATCTCTTGTATTATCACTGCTATAAAGGCTGATATAAAATAATATACATGCACACATGCATATATATATATATTTTAAAATGAACATACAATTTTTTTCCCTTTATTTACTAATGTGAAGCTTTGGAATGGTTTTGCATCCTATGTTGCTGCTCATACCACCCGAGTTACAGTTACAGTCTTAAGAATGTAAGATAAGTAGATCTCAGGTATGACAAGATTTGCAATGTCCGAGTGGACAGACAGACAGACCCACATTAAAAAAAAAAATAAAAATAAAAGCTTCAAAACTTTTCCAACAGCTAGAATATAAATAAAAAACTCACTTAAAAACTTTTTAGAGTTTTGATATGAAATCAAAACTTATTAAGTAACTTATCAAATCAGTTACTTATTATGTAATTTAAAAATGTTAAAATGTAGTTATAAGCCCATGAATTAAAAGGCAAAGAGAATCAGAACTTTTCTCTGTATTGTGCATTACCATGAATTATACAATAAAATCCTGACTTTTGACTTTTGCCAAAGCCCCAACACGTTTTATTCTGTTTTATTCACAAACGCTTCATAAGAAAAGGCAAAAAATTACATCAAGCTACTTATACAGTATTGATTCTAAGACCACTTAGAAATATTTTCTAAAACTAAATAGACTATATCCACTTTACTGAGAAATAATATCTTAGTTGACTAGATGCATTAAAGAAAAATTGCTGTTTCTGTACATATATAGCATTAAGAAAAAAGAGGGAAAAGTAAAGAATAACTATGTGTTAAAATTCATGGATAACGGTAATCCAGTGTCTCAACATTTCCATTACAGTGACATCCTGGTACTATACGATCTTCAGATTGTTGGTGTTTGATCTATGATGACCTTTATTTATAGGACAAGCTAGAGAATAATGATGGGATCCAGTAGCAAGGCATCACTTTTATTTATAAGCTCGAGTATAAAGGAAAAAATAAGAATGTGATATAAAATAATAAGCCAAAACCCAAGCTATCCACTTCCTCAATAAATTTTCTTGTCACCTTCTAGTACTCTTAATGGCTGTGCTATGCAGCATACATAACTCCTAGTTATTGCGCATCACTCTAGCAAATAGTGTTGTTTTAAACAATGATTGGGATTTTGCAGACCTTGTCCAGAATACCTGAATTTTTATGAGTCTCTTAAATCAGAGAGGGAAAAGACCTGCATAAGCAGGTCTTCAGCTCTCATTTTGTAAGGGAGCTTTACTGAGTTCGCTTCCATAGCACTAAGAAGCACAGGGCTATAGGGCCATCAGTAATTTTTTCTACTCAGTGTCCTGGCTCTAAAAAGGGCATAAATTCTTTCCAAATTGAATTCTCTCATGCACTTCTTTCTCCTATGGATTAGAGGGAAGGGAAATGTTAAGCTTAGCCCTGCTTTTGAAAACATTCCTCCACTCATGCCCCAGTACAGAAGTGCAGCAGTGGTGCCATTCTGCCAGGCAGTTGTCACTGCAAGAATGGATTTAGCAAGACACAACAGGATGAGACTAGAAGGGAAAGTATCAATGGGCATTTGTCAGTCAATAGCCTTATTGATTCAGGTTCTTAAAGAGATATAGGGATGATGCAGAGCTGGAACAATCTCTTTACAAAACAGAAATAAAGTATTGAATGTAATATTCTAATGCTGAGCAGGAGGGGAAAAATATTCCTTAAAAGTATAAAATTATTTCTTTGGCAATGTATTTTATTCAATAAATATATAGATGTAAGCATAACTTTTTCATACAGTTGGAGAATTTTTTTGTACTGTGGGAGACTGTACCCCAAAAGCCTCCTTTGTCTACATACCATACCATGTATTAGCACCATAAAGGACACCCTATGCTGATGTAAAAGAAGAGGAAATGAACTTCTTTGGAATTCATATGCAAAGTGAGTCAAAATCTTGTATTCAGAACCTCCAGATATGCTCAGTAAGTTGGTGTTCATACAGTTAGCAACTGGGACATTATTTCTGTGTTAAAGTAATGGTGCAAAGGGTATTTTTCAAGCTTAGCCTTCTAATCAAGGTCCTTCCACAGAAAAGGTACATCCACTTCTCAAGAGATGTATCTTAGGAATTCAGCCATAAAGTCATTAACTGGCAAATGTCATTTCTATTTCTACTTTTTATTTACTTATTTTCCATAATCTTAAATGTGAATATTTGAAAAAAAAAATACAAAGAAGGCAAACCAAACTTACAACATAATTTTGAAGAAGTAGTTCTACTGACTCTCGTCTTCCATATTTGATAATCCATGATTTTAGTTTTGATTCGGCAAGGACCAAGAGTGACAGTAGACGGTATTTCAGTTCCAGAAACTCCATTTTCAACAGATGGAGATCAGATGAAGAAGCAACAAAATTAAACCTAGAAAATGAATCACACAGTAGTAAAACATACAGCAATATTCATTTTATAGAAGAACCAGGAAGCTCTAGTTATGGATGAGATATTTTTCTAATCTTTGATCTATCTCTAATTCTAAAATATATTTTATTTTGCATGATGATAATTCTGATGCCTGATCTTTAGCAGCATTAATTGTTGTTTATTCACAGAAAACACCAGTTTACACGTTACTAAGTTTTGCAAAGTCATTTTTATTTTTCTTTTACATGCATCCAAAGTGCTGTTATATAACATTTGCCCAGGAGCAAGCAATAACAGGATCAATGTAAAAAAGTATCACTTGCTAAACCCTACAGATTAAGCTGACTGTCAATCTTTAATGTATCATGCTATTCAACATATTTTTATTTATATTTGTAGGGTGGAGGGGATCCTTCCAATTTTATTTTCACGCTTGCTACCGTGAAACATAATTAGACAGTGATTTCTACATGAACAGATTCTAACACGAACAGGGTCCCTTTCACTCACAGACGATTTTTCATTTCAGATTGAAAGCCTTACCTCTCTGCCATGTCCTCTAATTGGTCAGGTGGAACTGGCACTCCGTTAACAGACCTGGCCCGGTGGATCTCATGGAATGTCTTTTTGTGACCATCTACGTTTTTCAGCAGATCCTGATTCGATTCAAAGGGGGAAAGAGAGAGAGAGAGACTGAGAGAGAGAGAAGGCTCACAGTAGGCTATCAAACTAATAAGCACAAATTTAAGGCTGCACTGATGACTCAATGTAGTTAACTATTTGATCATGCTGTCACATTTGCATGCAAGGTTATGCATATTATAAAAGCATTTACAGCGGCTTGAACATTTACATAGGGAATCCCCTTATGAGATGCTCTGCAAAAGCAGCATCTAATTTAAAGCAGAGGATACATACACTGCAGAGATTTAGCAAAACCTGAACTCTTAACTATATTTAAATAATCCCCGAAATACAGCCTGCACATACACTAATATCACAACCATACAACCTTGCTAAATTTACTGCTTACATCTTTATAACAGATACTAACCTTTATTAGATATTGATTCAAATATTCTGTGACTAAACTACTTCTTTACATAAAGGCAGAAGATCCAGAGCTTCTTATGTAAATACAAATTCAATATTTAGTGAACTTCTCACTCTGTCAACATCAAAGGGATTCACAGTTGCTTTCTATACATTACACGAATGAATGCAGAATGTGGTATCCAACCTGTGTTCCTGTGATAAGGATTGCACCAGCAGAAACCTCGGAGCAGAGCACATTTCAACTGTAACTAAGCAACACTGCTTCAAACGGTTTCCTGGAGATTACTTATTACCATGAATGACTGGCAACAGTTTCTGAACCAATATCCGCACCAATAGGAGGCCAAGCCCCCAGCGACTGGGGAAACACAGCAGGGGATATTGCTGGAGACATCATCCCTATGGCTGTAAGGATATTTGGCTGTAGACACAGGGGATCACAGGAATCCCCCCTCCCCTGGGTGAACCCATGGCAGCATAGAGGTTCTCCCTGCTCCAGGTGCTGAAGGAGGATTTCCTCACAGTCCGAATCCAGCAGCAGAAACCCATAGCAATTCTAATGGTTTGGCTCCCCAGATCTTCCCAATATTCCCATCAGCCTACCTATCTTTACTCAGTTTTCTGCTTCAGCAGAAAAAAAACCTTGCTATGAAGGGAAATGAGACTTCCTCACTTGCAAATGACGCGCTCATTTTGCTTTTTGGGAAAAACTTTCCTGAGGATATCTTGAGATTAACGTTCTCTCCTGTAAAGGAACAAGTACCTTGGATAGCTGCATTTGCAACCTTGCCAGACAAAGGAGGATGCCCCTAACATGCTTAAGTCAAAACAAAGCACAGTAGTTTTAAATATTCAACATCATCAGGAAGCTCATGAAATTTTTTATGTAATACACTCCCTAAATACACTTACTAAATCACAATTTAATAAACGCAGTTTTCGTTTCTTACGAACATATTAAAAGAAAGTCAATGGCGATTACATTATAAGACCTAAAAATAACTTGGCTTGCTTTTTGTAATCAAATATCAGATCTCACGTCCTGAAAATCTTGATGTTTCAGAAAAAACTCATCAAACTGAGTATTATGAAGACTGACCTTCAAAGACAACAATACCTTCCACTATTTTTTTTTTTTTAATATTTTTTGGTTAAATTGTATTATCTAGCACTTGACTCCAGTATGTAAGCAATAGTTGGAGAAAGACTCAGCTCATCTTCCAGCAAAGCATTGACTGTCTGTCCTGACTATTCCAAGATGATCATGAAATTTTTCAGCTTTTCATTATATGACATGGCTTTTTAAAAATAAAAAACACATAACCAAATGAAAAACAACAAAAAAATTACAAACAAATTTTACAATGATACTGAGAAACAATATAAACAAGTCTTACTGCCACAAGTACAACCTTTCTCTACACCGTAGTTCTTCCTTTCTCCTTTTTAGTTTCTCAGTTTCTTCTATCATCTCTCCACCAACTGCTGTCTATATCTTTCTCACAATATATTACATAAATGCACATACAAACATCACAGTTTGGCTTTAAAGCAGAGCTCAGATTTAGCAAAGAGTAACAGCAATGTTATTAAAATTCACCTGGAAATGTTTCCCATTTACTGTAGCTGAGTGAACTTTTCAAGCAATTCGTCATTTGCAACACTAAAAATCCACTTCATTCTATTTTCCCCTGGTCTTGGTTACAGCCTCAACAGTATTGAATATCAGTGCACTTAAGTATTTTCTCTCTCTTCCCCTCCCTCCCTCTCTCTCTCTCAATTTTTTTCTCACTCCCTTTTTCTCCTTACTCCTGCCCCCTCTCTCTCTTCACCTAACCAGTTCTTATAGGTCAAACTATGCACTCAACTTACTAGCTCTGCATGAAATTTTCAGAGAGAAGTAGGGAAAAATCAAATGCAAGTCTGAACATCACTTATAAGACACAGAGACACGACAGGTTAAGACTATCACTGAAAGAAAGACACATAATCCTTACCTGCTGTCAAAATGAGGAAAACCTGCCCCAAACAGGGTTAGTGGAAGACAACTAGCCTTCAAATCACAAACAGCAATCTTTTTTTGTAGAGCACGATTGCTTTAAAACCTTGCAGTCAATAAAACATAATGTATAGAATGAATGTCTCTAGATCTACCTTAAGTTGTTCAAGTTTCCGATGGATTATATTTGCTGTCTCCTCGTGAGCTTGCTGGATAGTTATTTCGTCCCTCAGAGCAGTCTCTACTCTATAAAGCCAAGTACCTATGGTTCCCAAAGGTGCTGGAAGAGATTTATCAAGGTGTATGTGCCAATCAAGTAGCTAGAGCGAGAGCGAGAGAGAGAGAAGGAGAAAAAAAAAAAAAAAAGGAAAAATAGTAAATAAGATTGAACTTCAGTCCTTTTTTTAAATGTACAGAAAAGTATCTTGAAGAAAAAAATACAAACACATACACAAAAAAACCAACAAAACCAAGATACTTTATGCTGAAAAGAAATAAAAAGGCAAAACAAATTATATTTGAGGAAAATCTAGCTATATCACTTGACATTACTTTTCAAATTATAGTACTGTCATAGGCAACAAAATCGCTATAAAGATTTCCTGATATAAATTATTCCCTTCCAAAAGAATAATTGAGTTGCACAACTGACCGTGCATAAATTGGACCAACTGGCGAGCAGAAAATCTGGTACTCTATCAATTAACAGTCACAGTAAGACAAATGAGACTGCCCTCTGTTCAGTGTCACTTATTTCATACTCTTGCATATTTTTTTATTATATTTTGTGTGTGTAAAATGCATAAGTCCAAAGAGATTATGAAGTCAAGAGTATAGCAGTAAAGTAGCTTGTTCTATCAGCAAACACAGTTTTGGAAATGATAAATGACAAAAATAAGCATCTCAAAACTCCAAATTACTTTAAATAGTTCCCTTCTTAAACACACCTCTATGATGAAACAATTCTATGATGATACACTGACTTACAATGACTTAACTACTTTACAGTGGGATGACCAATATTACTTGAGATTTTTCATTCAATTATTGCAAAACTACTGTTCTCAGTGGTAGCATTCCTTTATTATTATTGCAAGCTCAGGCTAAAAATAGCATTAAAGCTTTATTTTTTTTTTTCCTAAGACTTTAGTATTTGTTAGAAAGAAACTTCATTGTTGTTAAAGTGTATTATACTAGAATTTTGCAGGTGGCTTTAGCATTTTACATTATAATATTGTAGTTGGAGGGAGAATAGAACTCAGCTTTTTTAAATCAATATTTTGTATCTTTTCTTGAGCTACTTTTAAAAGGAGCAGTACAATAAATATTCTCAAAGCAAACAGAATATAATTCAACACTGCCAGAGACTTGGTCCAAATTTAGGTTTCTAATGACTAAACAATCAATACAAAACAGGTGCCTAAATGACTTTAAAAGAGTTGTCCTTCATTTAATATAAGATAGTACGTTAATTTTTAAACTTACCCTGGATGAAACTCTGTCCCAAGCTTGCTTCACTATAGCTTGATCAAGTGATAATTTACCATCTTTCCGCAATGACTGAGTCGCAAGTTCAATCTGTTTCCTTTTTAATTCATACTGTACTCTGAAATGTTTAAATGACTAAAAAAGAAAAAAAGCACAAAGTCAAAGAAAGAATTTGTACAGCATTTATAGTATATTGCTCCCTGTATTAGAAATTTATCCTGATTAAAAAAGAAAAATCCTAACTCTACAAAATGAATAATAGCTGTAAATTTGTATTTTTAAAGCCTTTCTTGAATTGCATTTTATTAAAATACTTTAATACCCCCGGAAAACATAAGTAGGACTCCAGGAAGACGTAACTGGCATTTTCAAATTCTTCAGTCAGATAAAGCAGCAAAAAGGTTAAATGCTGCTTAGGATGGACAGGAAAGCAGTCAAGTTTTAGAAGAAAAATTGGGTAGAAATTTCTATGAAAGGTTTAGATATTCACCTTAGGGAGATATATTAAAAATGAACCTCTAAGCCCTGTTCTCTCCACCTGTCACCTCTAGTCATATCTCACCATCTGAACTATATCATGCAGGATCTGGAAAGGTTGTACAGACACATGCTCGCTTCTAACTAGGACAGCCTTTCTTCACGCTGCTAGAAAAAGATTGGTGTTAGGCAAACCATCTGTGCACAGTTCGCAGCAGCAAAGCTTGAGCTGACACTGTCATTCCCCCACAAATGAAGGGCAATCTAACTTGTAACTTTATTTCTTTAAGCTACAGTACGTCAAACTATATATGTACAGGCTGCATAAAATTATGTGGCACATATTACACATAACCATGGAAATAATATCTTACCATACCAAGCTTTCCCACTTCCTTACCTGGTATTTCTCCTGTAAGCTCGCTTCCGTCGCTTGTGCGCGGGCTAAGTCTCTCTCGAACTGCTCTGCCCACACTTTCAGGTCTCTCAGCACCAGCCTATCTTCCTTCTGTGTTTTAGCACAAATGCAAAAACATTGGAGCCTATTAATAGAGGTATCAGATACAATCGGTATCACTCCAGCATGTATATTTCATTAGTTGTAGTGAAGGACAGTGGAAACATCTGGGCCAAATTCTCTCATTATTCACCTTTGTGCAGTCTAACTAAAAAGCACTACTTAGGACTAGGGAAGAACTTAACATCTAGATATCTGTGCAAACATAATGACTGCTTGGGTCACTGTAGTATCAGAGCTATTACTTGAGGTTCTCTTCCAGAGTTAACACAGTTACTTAAATATATCTCAACAGATAATTCTTGTCTTCCACGTATATTCAGAGTGAATTTCCAGTAAAAGGTAATCAAATTGAGACAGGAAAGTATTTGACATTGCCAGTTTATCACAGAGGAAGTTTTAGTAGGGAGCAGAAAAGAAAAAATAAAAAAAGAAAGAAAAACTTGTAAAGTTTTCAGTCAGTTTCCTTTGCTTCCACACTATTGTATGGCTTTGAAGAACAGCATATTTCTCTTAAAGTTTTGCTTTAACACTTTAATCTATCATGGTAGTAGTTCTCTGCAAGGCTGCAAAGCTCTTTTTGAGATTCAGTGATCAGGCAGTGAACAACATAGAAATCCTAACGGTAAATCACAGGTCTGTGAGTATGTTATATGAAAAGGTTAGCATGCTAGCAGAAAAGGTTGGGGGGATACAAGTGTTTGTCTGAGATTTTCAACCAGCAAACTATAGGTACTGGCTATAACCAGGAGCTACTCTTTGAAACCAGCAAGGTCGTATTTCTAAAAATCAGTGACTGTTGGATCTATCACAACCAGCAAAGGTTAAACCAGACCACATGAGTTAATCACCTAAAATGAATCATTAAGCTTCAGACATTACATGAGACCAGGAAAATTGGACCATATGTTATATCAAAAAGGCTATTCACCAAGTGCTCTTTCACAAGACAAAGTTCTTTACTTTCAACAAGATCCTAATCTAGGAAGGAAGTCAATTATGGTTCTTTGAAAACTGTTTCTAATATATCAGCTATAACTTCCTCTAATCATTTTAACAGCTTGGAACTGCTGGTTGTGGTCTCTTCAGTTCAGTGGAGGGCCTGTGAACAGGAAAGGAACTCTTTGATGCATTTCTGCTTCTTCTCCTACCAACTTTCTAATAGAAACTGTGGCAGCTAGTTGGACAGATTTTGAACAAGAGATCACGAAAATATATTTTTATATTTTAATAATATTAATATAAAATATAATCTATATGTACATATTATATTAATGTATATAAATTACGTATTTTATATATAATTATATTTTTTCTATTTGGTGAATCACCAGGTAAAATCTTAGCTAAAAAGTTATAGCCATATCAACATTATATTGAAGTAGCTGCATTGGAACAACCCGAAGTTCTCTTTAGTTCTTTTCTTTATACCAAAAATAGGTGCCCAAGAAAAAGGAAAAGGCATATATGACACATCCCTTTTCCAGCTAATCTGTAGTGCTAGGATCTCATTAATGCATGTGGCTTCTCAAAAGGCAACAAGGTTTTCAAATTGCCAAATCATTCAGGTACACAGAAAGAAAGCAAAAGTTATGCTATTCTGGTTTAACAGCTGTATGTATGAAGTGAAAGGATTACTTCCTTAGGAGAAAAAGAAGAAAAACATACAAAGTGATTAGCTTACTAAGCTACCAAGAAAAGATCATCTGCATTAAATGCCTACTATGCATTAGGTAGGCATGTGAAGTTTAATTAAGCTGATTGAGAATGCTAATAATATTTAGTGTTCAGAACCATAAAAATAACACTAAGCTATTCATCTTAATGGACAAATAGTCTTATAGCAATCTTAGAAACTGAAACCTTAAGTAACATATCCCTAAAGTCAAGAAAGGAACAGTTCTGTATATCACTTTTAATTCACACTTTAACTTCAGTTCTGTCAAACAGTGCATTTCATATCTCTGAGGCTTATTTTCTTATTGCTGAAAATCATATTTTCAAGGTAAGTCTTTATGAAAGCCTCTATGGTCACAACAGCACAAAGAAATCTGAGCAAAGTATGTATTTTGCAAGATTTCCTCTTAACACAGCTTAAAATCATAGGAACCAGATAGATTTGGTCCTTTGGAAATAGAATATCCCTAGGTTTAAGAACACCTCTATGTTTCGTCAAGATAAAGAACAAAAGAACAGCACACTGTCATTTCTCTGACATCAAGTGAAAAGATAAAGTTAAGAAGTTGCAATAATTTTGTGGTTGGGTTTTTCTTTGGGGTTGGGGGGTAATGTTATTTAGTTAGACAAATCTTGTAGATCTAGGTGTTTCAGGAACTGCCTAAATTAATGGTGTTAAAAGACCTTATATAATTCTAAAAATTCACTTGCGCTTCATGATCTCTACCCTTAGAAAGAAAATCCAAAGTCCGTTCTCCTAAATAACAGGTAAATAATTTTTAAGGCCTGCAGACTTCAAGTAGCACACAGACGGGGACATAAGCCATCAATGAAAAGCTACCTAGAACAGATAGTGCTTTCCTTAGTACAAAGTTCTTTGATCTATGACCACATTTCTTCTAATTTCTCCAAGTCATTATCAATTATACCCTGTATTCTGCCTCCAAACAGCATTTTAGAGTATTATCCTGATGATGTCTATGAATTTTCACTAACTTACAGAGATGAACAATGAAACTGGAGAACATGGAAGAATGTAATCAAAAGATTTATAGGTTCCAATATAATAAGGCTGTATAACTTAATTTAACACAGAAAGTTTTCAGCTGAGGTGGAAACTGAATTTGAAAATTAGAGTAAATTGTAAACACTTTGGTGTTTGCAGAGCTGGAAATAGACACGTGTGTTTCATTAGAAATTTAATTATGAACTGGAAAACAAGTATTTATTGGGTGCTATAATACATAACTATAGAGCCATAAATTTTTTCAAGCAAAGCATGATAGAAATTTTAAACACAAGTATATAAATCCTGCCCAAAATGTTATCTATTTTTCAGGGATGAATTGTACCCATAAAATAAGGGTCACAGAATCACAGAATCTTTAAGGTTGGAAGGGACCTCTACAGATCATCTAGTCCAACCTTCCTGCTCAAGCAGGCACACCTACAGCATGTGGCACAGGGTGGCATCCAGGCGGGTTTGGAAGACCTCCAGAGAAGAAGACTCCCTGGGCAGCCTGTTCCACTGCTCTGTCACCCTAACAGTAAAGAAATTCCTCCTCACCTGGAGATGGAACTTCCTGTGCTCCAGCTTGTGGCCATTACCCCTCATCCTGTCGCTGGCCACCAGTGAAAACAGCTTATCCCCTTCCTCCCTGCATTCTCCCTTCCTGAACATATTAATCATATCACATTAATCATATCCCCTCTGAGCTTTCTCTTCTCCAGAGAAAACAGGCCCAGCTCACTCAGCCTCTCTTCATACGAGAGATGTTCCAGTCCCTTAATCATCCTGGCTGCCCTTCTCTGGACCCTCTTGAGAAGCTCCACGTCCCTCTTATACTGGGGAGCCCAGAACTGCACACAGTACTCCAGTGCGGCCTCACCAGAGCTAAGTAGAGGGGCAGAATCACCTCCCTTGACCTGCTGGCAACACTCCTCCTGATGCAGGCCAGGATCCCATTGGCCTTCTTGGCCACGAGGGCACACTGCTGACTCATGGTTCATGACTCAAGGGTCCTTTTAAAAAATGTTTAAAATTAAACTTAATTCATCAGGCAATCTCTCTTAGAATCTCTAGCTTATTTGTATATACTACTATCAGCGCCAAAACACATTCATTTGACAACAGCATCATGGATGTACTGTGGAAGCATAATCTTTGCAGAATGAGTTATTAACTTCTCTCCTTAAAAGCAAACACTGAATTACTGGAAGGGCTCAGAAAATTATTTGTAGAGTTCCTGGTCAGGAAATTCCCCTTACATTGGGGAACGCTTCAATCCAAATTTTGTGGTGGAAATATCTTTGAAATTGTTGATTCTCACTAGAATAGAAAAGAAAAACTTTGCATCACATTTATTCTCAAGGAGTGCTCTTCCTCTACATTTGAGCTGCCACCAAGAAAATATAATTGACAGAGAATTTACCAATTCATTTCCTTAGTAACTCAAGAAGAGATGCATGGGGGCTGTATAAGGCTAAAGAGTAGCATGAAGGTCTCATCTAAGTTTTGCAAACATTTGCTTTAATGGAGTGGATACTATGGGAATAACTTACAGGTATTTATCCCCATTTCAACATATATCATTAGTTATGCATAATGAGATGAACTAATCATCATACTGTTATATCTTCCTAATATATTCAAATTTGTAGTCATCTAGTTTTATATATGTGAATGCTTATTTCAAATACTAAATCTCTACCTGCTAAACTTCTGAACTTCTCTCGGTTACTCCGAGGCACTGACTACTATCCCATGCTTATTTTTCACGTGGGTGCTAATGATGCCATGGGGAAACTTGCCCAAATAAAGCAAGATTACAGAGCTCTAGGGGTGGCTGTAAAAGAGGTGGGAGCCCAGGTAGTGTTCTCCTCCATCCTTCCAAAGAGGGGGATGGATTCAAGTAGGAGAAAACGGATAGGTGAAATCAACAACTAGCTGTGCCGCTGGTGTTGGCAACAGGGTTTTGGCTTCTATGACCACAGGACTCTGTTTGACGACCATGCTAGTGGAGCATGGTGGAAACCACCTCACCAAGAAGGGCAGGCAGGTATTTGCCAAAAGGCTGGCCAATCTCATTAGGAGAGCTTTAAACTAAGCAGGAAGGGGGAGGAGGAGCGTCATGTGGACTGGGGAATCAATCCTGTAAAACCTAAGCCAACGGATATCCAACAGGCCTATGGTGGTGGGGAAGTAYGGCTAGGGCATGATYATAGAGGATCCTCTCTCATGCCTCCTGGGAAAAGTTCAGCCTCGATTACCTGCCTGAAATGCTTATACACCAATGCACGAAGCACGGGGAATA